GATCCTGAAATTTTTCACAAAATGTTAAACTCCAGTCTAGTCCTCTATTCGAATAAAGTAGTGATTTGTTCTAATTCGAAGATTATTCAAAAAGTAATTTTTATACAAAATCAAATGATTTCCAATATTTGAATAAAAAATATCATAAATTTCTTAAATAGAAGAACCCATCAACTCCAACATTAAACTTGGAAAATTATTATAGGAGTGCAAATGTAGAATAATTTTGAATTTTTCTACTTTGAATCTATAGAGCTTCAAATTCTATACATTGATTTTTTTTCTTATGAATTTCCACAACTTCTCAATATTCAAATTTTAAACACAATTCAAGCAATTTTTAGCTTTTTCTTTTCATTTACCAAAAAATTCTTCATAACCGAATAAGTAGATTTTAATATTCATCTGTATTCTAGTCATCCTACACATCATAGTACATATGTACACTTGTAAAATTTTTTTTAAATTTTATTTTCATATGAAATATCAATTAGGTTTGAATTTGGAATCTAATTGATTCAAAAATTTTTAAAAATCAATTATTTTATAAAATATTTTAATTTCATACAGTGTGTTTATGCATTACTCACTTACCCACATAAGTGCATTACCAATATACCATTGTATAGAATCGTGCGTAGGTAACTAATGGAGATAATATTCATCAAACAATTGGTTCCTAGTTATAGGGGCTTAGAAAACAATTAAAATAAAATTTAAAATTTTTCAAATTTTTGAAGGCCTGAAGATTTTAAAAACCAGGAAGATTTTAACTAGTGTCGATATTTTATGAGAAAGCCATTATGTTATTATATAATTTAACCATATTTAATCATGAATCTATCCGATATACGAGTAGAAACTGCGTTATACTTAAAATTTTAAAAAGTAGAAAAAGCTATCCAGTTTGATTTTAAATCCCTGTAACTCAGAATGTGTTAGGCCGTCAATATTATCTTCGTACAAAAGTTTCACCTACTTATAAGCACCTGCTATGGTATATAGCAGTACAATTAGGTATATGAGACACCCTGTATAAATTCAATATACAAATTTATTTTAAAATAATTTTAATTTATGGTAATCGGCTTTTGGAAATATTTTAAAATTTATTTTTTTCTAAAGAATATGCAATTAAATACGAACACATTAAAAAAAAATACTTAAAATTTCCAAAAATTATTGTTAAAATTTGGTATATTTTGTTTTTAATAAATATTTGTATTTAATATTTATATTGAAAGTTTTTAAAAGTTTTAAATTACACCTATAAACAAATAGGCATTTTGATTGAAGTAATTATGTTTAGTATTTGAAGTATGCTTAAATGAACGCGTGTAATTTTTTAAATAATACACACAATTCTAAATTATACAAATGTATTGCAATTATGTAAAATTTTAAAAAATAGGCAAATATGTATATATATGTAAACATTTACAGGAAATTAATTTAATCCCTAAAATTCATACTTGAATAATTCGAAAACCAAAATATATTTTTAAATGGAAAATATTAAAATTTTCCAAAAATCTTATAATTTTTTTTCCTGAATTAAAATTTTCTAAAATTTTTAAGTACATATGTACCTAGAATAGCCAACAAGGAAATTGTAATTTTCTCTCCAAATGCCTCATAAGTGAAAAAATTATTGATTATTTTTTAATATAAATTAAATCAAAAGACTACTAAATTTCGGCAAAAATTTAGTTTAGTGTTCGAATTAATTTTTGTTCCAATTATAATTTTTATATTAATTTCAATTTTTAATAATTAATCTACTGTATATTATAATAAATTAATTAAAAATTATTGTTTTACAAAATTATGCATTTTCTTAATTTTACAATACAAATTTATTAATAGCCTAACTATGACTATTCATAATTGAATTCAATGGTAAAACATTTCAATACCCCTATAAATATGCAAAATTAATTGAAATATATTTGATTTTAAAAAAATCCATTATTTTTTGAAATTATATCTAAATTCCTTTTCATTAACAGTTTAATCGTACTATTCATTCTCTAAAATATGTTTATTCTAGGAAAAGAAAAATTACTTTATTTTATCAGCTATATAATTCTATATTGAAAATTTTCTTTATGACTTTGAATAATATTCAATTGAAACAATTACTATGTTATTAATTGTTAATAATTATTCGAGTTCCTTATCACTATTAAAATATTTTGAATAATTATAATTACTTTACAGAATGTGCTCTTAGATTACCTTTAAAAATCTCAAAATGTTTTAAAGAATCAATTTCAATTTACTCGTATAAGAACGTTTATGTTTATATTCGTATATTATGAATTTATCACTCAATTTGTAAGATTAAGATGAAAGAATTAGATATACAGAGAAACCTCTTTATAATGCCATCTCCACTTGACGAAGAATTTTGTTTAAGATTTTCTATTTAACAAAAACTCCATATTACGAATAAAACTCTATGGTTTGATTATGGGTATTCATTATATGGAGACTTTATCGTATATACAATATTCTTTTTTAAATTCTTATTAGTCGGTTTATCTATTTCTGCTAGGCTGTTCAACTTTACCAACAACTAATTGTAATTATCATACTGAGCTATATTAACCACATTTTTGAAAAATTTCTTAAAATATAATTTAAGACAAAGTCTTGCAAACCATATTTAATTTGAACACAATAGCAGCAACGATTCAAATACAATTAATTAAAAATTTCAAAAATAATTAATTTTTTTTTTCCAAATATCATTTAAAAGTGTTAATACGGCCACTGTTGAAATAAAATTTTTCCAACTATCATAAAAAAAAATTAATTAATAAGGAATTAATTATGTAAAAATATTTTCGTCAGCTGGAAAAATATTCGTATAACAGAAATTGACATGGTAAATTCCATCTTTAAGCATTTTTTTTATATATATATGTAGTTCAATATAATTTTAATTAACTTTTAATTGAATATAACCTTAAGTTATATACCTATATATATATATATATTATATATATATTAAAATTAATTAATTGGAAAATCTTTTAAAATTAACTTGAAAATGTTATTGAAAATTAAAAGAAAATATATTAATTAATTGAATTTCTATTAAATATTATAAAATATTCAATTATAATAATAAAAACAATTATTTTAATAAAATAAACTACAATTTAATTACCAAAAAGAAAATACAAAACCCATAAGTATAGTAATAACAACGATGTAGTATAATAAGTGTAATAATATAAAATTAAATTTTTCAAAATTTTTCAATTTAAAATTACAATATTATAAATATTAAATATAATTATAGCTATTAAATAAAATAGGAAATATAAAAAATATCAAAAATTACAAATCAAAAATATGCTATGTAATAGAAGAAAATTATTGCATTTGGTCTGAATTCTTCCCTATAATATAGAAAGCACAAAAAAAAAATAATTTTACATAAAATAGAAGATGAAAATCCTTAATTGCTTAATGGTTTCTTCAATAATTTTGAATTTATATAAAGTAATTTAAATAAAGTTGGGTCAAACCAATGGTTTGTATTGTAGCACTTTTCCCTTCAACAAGTGAAAATTCTGCTTTTAAAAACAGTCTATGTATACCTATCAAACTATTTAAAATTATTTTCATTCATATACAAAACTATTTCTAGAATTGCATATATTTAGGATGACGCACATATGCAGTGTTGGAAATAAAGCAAAAATTAATATAAAAAGGGGTTAACATAATGCTCGATTTTAAGGGTTAATTGTGTGAGTTAAGAAAAATAATTATATTTTTTAATTTCATGGAATTTACCGTTAGCTTTTTGCGTTTATAAAAATTTGGAAAAGCTTGCGGTTTCGGAAATATAAGGTGTCAAAAATTCAAATTTTACGAATTTCAAGAGGTGATAACTTGAGAGGGGGTGGAGATGGAAAAAAATTTTCTTCTAACGAAATGAACTATTTGTTAATGTTTAAAAGCTCCTAAAATTTCAAGCTTCTACAGGCTGGGGTTTAGAAGAAAAATGACATCAAAAATTTGGAAAAAAAGGACTTTAGATAACGGTAAATTTGAACGGCCATTTTGTTTTTTTAAAGTTTAACTATAGTATATCGCGCTAGGAGAAGCAAGCCACTGCCTTTCTGCGTTTGCAAAATTTCAAAAATGCTTATGGTTTCATTGCAACAAATATTTAAAAAAGGCCATTTTTAGGGTTTTGGGAGGGTATAACTTCTAGAGGGGGGGAGATAGATAAAAATTTTGTTCTACGGAAATAAGTTTCTAGTGAAGATCTATGTACGTATGAAATTTCAGCTTTCTATCTTAAAGGGTGTAGAAGTTTTGTAAACAAAAAAAGTGTCCACGGACGGACGGACGGACGAACGGACGGACAGAGTGAAACTAATAAGCACTTTTTTCAAAAATTTTTTTGGAAAAGTGCTAAAAATATATAAGACCAAATGCAATTATTATATTTTAGCTCTGTTATAAAACCACAGAAACATGTTATGTTAAACACATATAAATGATAATTTCTCTGTACAGTTTATAATGTTTAAATGATGTATATATATATAATAATATGTAATATATAATATAAATAATTTAAATATCATGCTATAGTAAGTACTTTTTAAAATATTCTTAGAATTTTATCAAATCAAATTTTTATATTTTTTTATTCTACATTATATATTATACATAGATGTAATATGAAAAATTTAATATTAATAAAATAAATTTGAAAATTTCCATGTACATATAAAATAATTTTTCTTGTAAATATGTATAATAATTATTATGTATATTATTCTAATGATTTTAATTGAAATTTAATTTAAAAAAAAAAAATATTTGATTTTTAACTAATAAAAAAATAAATATTATAAGAATAATAAACTTTTTGTTCCTTTTTTTTGTTAATACTGTTTTTAAATTAAAATTAATCAAAATACAGAGTGATTCAGAAACAATATATAACAATATATTAACATTGTTTGTAGGATTAGGTTTAGGTTTAGGTAGAGGCAGCCATCCAAGGCCACTTAAACCCGTTGTGATCTCCATGTCCCCAACCTCACGTGAACCATCCCGAGTCATTTATAAATCTGTATAAGTCCTTGGCATTTGCATTCCGTAATTCAATTACCAGATCCGTAATTCACAAAAAAAAATGTTACTCAAGGAACCTACAGTTTTTCCATGACAAAACTGGGCATGAGCACAGAAAATGAGCCATTGTTTCCTCTTCCTCCTCCTCACAAAAGCTCCTGTAGAGTTCGTTAGCACGGCGTCCCATAAGCCTGGCGTGTTCCCCAATCAGATAGTGCCAAATTATAACTCCTATCACTCCCATTTGCCATTGGCTTCGTTGGAGGATTACAAATAAGTAAAACTCGTGTTCTGAAATGGGTGCACAATCTCAAGGGTTTCGAGATACAGAAATTTTTAAGAAAATTTCAAAAAAAAAAAAATTTTATATCCCTATATTTTCTTGCATTTAGCTTCCATTCCAGAATATAATTAGAAGTTTCAAACAAATTGTTATTTAAACGGATAGCAGCACTCTCAGTCATCTATTTTTTTTTGTAGCAAAATGTTCGAAAGTTAAAAAAATAATTGTAATTAATATTAAATAATTAATTTTTTTTAAATAAAAGTATTGGAGTTATTGAAATTTTTCTAAAGATCGAATGTGGATTGTATTTCCGAGAGAACGTATGAATAACCAAAAGAACTCTTTAAGCCCTATGATAGCCTTTTCAAATATACTGTTGCAAATTATTGATAATGTACATTTTATTCCATAGTGTGAGCCTATTAGGATGAGAATGAATTTTCATATATCCAGGAATTTCATGGTTTTACGATGTTGTCTTGTCTTATGATTGTTCAAATTATTTTGATTTGTATGACAACATGAATTTTTATTTAGAGTTATTTAGGCGTTAGTTTAGGACTTATAAACTGTTAATCAAATAGTAACTTAGTAAAACTAAGTTTATGCTATTTAGTCCACCTATATCGAAATCAGTATAATCAGTATCATAAATCAATACATAATTAAAAAATTTTTTAAGAAAACTATTTTTTAAGCCCACTTGTGTACCAATATATATTGCAAACTTTCTAACGCTATATAAATCGTTATATATAACTATAAAGAATTGAAAATTAGTAGAATTAGAACATTATGTTCACGTTCATTATATGTACATAATAGAGTTTATAAAACAATAAATAATTTTTGAAAATATCTTTATCTAAGCTTTTCTCTAACAAACAAACATTTAATAAAATATTCCAATATTTTTTTAATATTCAAGTCCTTTTCTCTTATAGTTTCAACTAGAATAAAAGAACAAGAAAAAAAACAAATAACAATACTCGCACGTATATAAAACGTTCTAAACACATTTTACTTTTGGTCTATTTACACGTTTTTCAAAACATATACGCATAAAGTAAATAAAAAAAGAGCATTATAATACGCCCCACATAATATACACTCTATTGTATACTACAATAGATTTAAATTTTCTATTTAATATTAAGAAATTTAGTCTCGTTTAAATTAAAAATCGATAATATATTATACACGCTATATACAAGATCTACATAATAATATATACATACAATATTAGAAAACACAACCTAAAAGAACAACAATGTACAGCCCCACATATAGTGTATATGATTTGATTATAAAATATAAAAAAAAAATTGAAAAACCATTTCATGCTGAGATTTTCTTTATACAAAAGCATTAAAACACAATAAATTGCATATAGATTCTTTATATGTATACGTATATACTCGTAGCAACTCATAAATACTATTGGTTGTAGAAGAAATAAACTAGAGAAACATCATGTTATTATTATTATTATTGAAGACAACCAACTTAAAAGCAAAATAAAAATTAAATAAGGTCAACAATAATAGTAGCTATAAGTATAAACAGGATTAACCATAAAGAAAATGTTCTATATCGCACAAATACTGCAAAATACAATGAGAAAAAAAAATTCTTTTATACAAAATCACAGCAGTAACTAAACCACAAGAAACCAATTTTAAAAATTTCTTTAATCTATAAAAGCAAAATCTAAAAATGAACAAGTTAAAGTGTTTAAATTCTTTAAATTATTTTAAAATTTAAGGACTTTAACATTTAATATGTTTTGTATTACGTTTTATAGGATTTTCAATCAGATTCTATAAAAAAAATCTATCTAGTAGCATGATGGAAAATGTTGAAATGCTTTTATTTGAAGATTGCTGGTTATTTTTGTAAAAAGACCATAGAGCTAAAAGTTCATATATGGTCCAAAAAAATGCGTAATATGCAAATGAATGAAATATCAAACGAAAAATATTTAGAATTCTTATTTTTTTTAGAGATTCTTAGAAAATGCAATATTTAGAATGTAATGAGTAAAAAATTTCATCGAAAACTTATAGTTGGTACAACTGTAATTAAAATTAAGCCAATTAAACGAAAATATAATAGAACGATTTCAATTATCGCATTGCAACTATAAAGTAATCCCATATACTGTTAAGGGAACAGAAATATAGGGAGGATTTAGGAAATTAAAAGGTAAAGTTAATTTCTAATTTCTTTTTGAGCAGGTTTGAACACATATTTTATATAACAATAAAAATCTTATAGTGAAAACTATTCACTACCTTCATTCATTATTGAAAAATCTCTATTATAAAGCATGCACTTCTTATTTAATTTAACTTACTTACCCATATACTATGTGATTAGTGCTCAATCAACTATTTCACGAAATGTTTAATAATGTCAAATCTTATAATTGAAATGTCATTTACATTTAAAACAAGTGAAAACGTTTCAGTCGGTATAAATCGATTGAATTATACCCTGCACCTTTCGTTGTTGTATAGCAATTACTCAAACCTGTGAAACCATTTTATAGGAACCTCACGGATATGTCTGACCTATAATTGGACACATGATTGCCAAGTTTCATTAATCTGAATTTATTATTTTGCCGCGTATATAAAAAATTTGCTTTTGGAATTGTATGGCAGCTACCCAAATCGGTGCAGCTAAGCCCATTAAAATTATTTAGAGCACGTGTAAAATATAACACATGTATACAAAATTTTATAGTTTATACCTTTATTAATTTTTAAAATATTTAAAATAAATTCTTTGAGTTGTATGGCAGCTACCCAAACCCGTTGTACGAATTAATCCAATTACAATAGGGTTTGTCCTTGGTACAAAAGAAACAATTTGTGAAAGTTTGGTGTCGATTGCATTATTCGTTTTTGAGTTATCGTGCGATCGCACGGACGGGCGGACATATCTAAATCAACGCAGAATTTTACGCTGAGCAAGAATATATCCATACCGCAGATGACTCCTTCAAGTAGTTACAAACTCCATACCCCTCACGGAGGGCAGGGCATAAAAAATGGCTAATTATAATAATAAATAAGCTTACGGTATAACAAATAATAATTGCGTATCTTTTCTTAACAATAATAATAGAAAATCTTATAAACAAACACTCTTGATAAAATCCTGATTTTGATTTCCTACTTTAATTTTCTTAACAGATTAAACTTTTTAGAGCTACAATAAACAATTTGCTGCTCGCACTCTTCGTATACAATTTATAAAAGAACCGAATTGCATCAAACTCCTAATCCAAAAAATGCTATAAATTTTTTAAAGAATTCTTACACAGAAGAAAAAAAAACTAACAAAGAAAGATAAAAATTATTACAAAATTAATTGACTAGACTGAACCTTTAAAGAAAGGGAAAGAAAAAGATTTAAGAGTAAAGAATTTTTTCTTTATGGAATCTTCTATAGGGTGAAAATTTTTTATAAGAATTTGATTTTTTTCCTTTATTTTGTTTTCTTAATTTTTACAATACCCGCGGTTAATTTTTAATTCAATTATAATTCAAATTATACACACATACATAATAAATATACACATATACATATATAAGCAATTTTAGATAAAAATAAACTAAAAAATTATACCTTAAAGTTTGAATAAATTTGAGAGAACAAAAATTTATTTTGGTAGTTTTGGTACCATAATAACCTTTATTTTTTTTGTTTTTCACTTTTTCTTTTAATTCATTAACGATCAGACTTCTTAATTTTATCTTCACCCTTAAGGCGAAATATTTTTCCTTTTTTTTCTGATTGTTTTTTGTTTTCCATCGTTTCATAAATAAGAATATTTATAAAGTTATTAAACTATATAAATATATTTTAATGAAGAATTTTATATATATAGAACGCCTATACAATTAAAATTCTCATACACATATACATATATATATATACACTATATATATATGTACGGGGAATTTTTAAAATGTCCTTGAAATTTTAAGCAAAAATTCGTTTATTTTATTTAAGATAGAAACTTTAAGTTTAATTAAATATCAGGTTAATAGAAACAGATTTGGTATTGTGCTATATTTAAAGAAAATGCATGTATATGTGTATGTTCATATAATAATTAAATTTCAAGAAACATCAAAATTCTATTGTTCATCTAGTTTAAATCAGAGAAAATACAATAAAACATAATATTTTTGCTACCTCAACGCTTTACCCAAGCAGGGAAAACTTTAAAACAAAACCTCAGAAGCCTTACGATAAAGTTAGAAAACTTTTAAAAAAATTCTCATAGTAATTGCCTCTTACGGTATTAGAATTCTGCTCTTAGGTTCGATAAATTAAAACAACAAAATTTTCGAATGTGTAACATATTTGATAAATTTGCTAGGGTGATTTTCCAGTTTTCGGACGAATAACTTTTTTTTGACTTTGGAAGGTTGTCACTCTGCCAAAATAAGATGTGCGGTTGTAAAATCACATTTTTCTTAAACTTTACCAAATTTACTATGTAAAAAAGCTCAGGTTGATGACATTTTTGTGAATGGTATATAAAATATTTAGGTTAAAAAAAAAAGTGTCAAATTTTCCAGTTTCCAGACATAAAATTCTATTATTCGGACAGGAAAATTTTAGTTTCCGGACAACAAGAATTTCTCTTAGGTTTTTAATAATATAAGTAAAAAATTGTGTTTATAGAAAACACAAATTTTTTTCGAGAATTAACTCGAGTTTATTCTTTGAGTTCAGACTTTTATTCAAAATAAAAACAAATACTTTAACAATTCATAGTACATTAGTATAAAAAACAAAAATATAAACTTTTACATAACGATTCTGTTTACATAGATTTAACTGTATATTATAGTTTTTAACATATTTAAATAAATAATTACATTATATTATATATTATTTATGTATATCTTTTACATATTAGCCTTTGGAATTTTTTTTTGCATTAAAATTAGTGTATTATTCCTTTTCCTTTTTTAAGGAAACGTTTTTATAGTTAGATTTTTTATATTTTCTCTTGAGTTCAGATTTTTTAACTGAAAGCTCCCTTTTCTGCAATCTTTCCAATTTTGCAATTTTTGTACGGGAATATTACCATTGGGGGTAGAACTTTGCCATCAGCTGTGCAAACGAAAAGCACTGCCAAAGTTTCCTTTTCGTTCCCCGTTTGTATTTGGTATACATTTTTATATGATTTGGGAGCAATGACTTTGCCTGTTTTTGGGCACAAACTGAAGCTCGTTTCATCACCATTTATGATCCGCCTAGGGTCATTTAGTAAAGTAGTTTGACTTATACTCTCAAGAAAAATTGAAAGATCTTGAAACCATTTTTTGATATACTCCTCTGTAACAACAGCACGACCCTTGGTGATATTTTCTGCTTCCTTCAACGATAACCCTGGATTTCGTCTGAAAAAACCACGAAGCCATGTTCTACCAGGACGTCCATTTTTGAATGGATTTGCTCGTCCAGTGTGCTTCAAAATTTGTTCCACTGTATTAAGGAAATCATCAACTTTAAGTGGGAATCCACATTTGCTTAGTTTTCCACACCATTCAGCTATTTGTAATTCTTCGTTTTTAGTGAGAACAGGGTCTGGACCTCTAGTTGTGGGACCTTCTGGGGTTTTGCCCTTCAATTTGTCATGCAGTGTTGAGCGGGGTATCCCATATTTTTCTGCTGCGGCTCTAATACTTATTTTTATTATTTCGGATATCTTCTAATGCAGCTCCTGTTTTATTTCCGGTATCTTTCGCACAATTCGATTGACTATTTGTTGAATTTTGATTAATTTTGTCCCCGTTCATTTTGCTGAAGAAGTTGAAAACGAATTGGTAAGACGGCGAAAAAATTTAATGTAGATAGGTTTCTTTAGCATAGTAAAAAGAGGTTGTCCGAAAAATAAACGGTGCTATGTTACATATATACTAATTTTCGGACAAGTAGCCATATTTGTTTTTTTCGCGTCCGAAAACTGAATTTTTACGAATTTAAAGGCTAAAAATTTTAAAGTAACTTTAAAATATGCAAATTTAAGTTATTATGCACAAAGATTTGTCAAATTGTAAATTTCGTAATTTTTCAGTATTCGGACAATCGTGTCCGGGAACTAAAATTCATGTAATTTTTTAGTTTTAGAAAGCGGACTATTAATAATAAAAATAATATTTAACATTTAAAAAAAAACAAACCTTTTAAAAGTTAATTGAATGTTTTTCCAACACAAATATATAATAATATCACACAATTTTATAAAAAATAACTTAAAAACTTACTTTTTCCGTCAACTTGTTTGTTATTTTTTTTTTAGAAAATTTGGACTTTTATCACTTACTACTCAACCTTCTCACTTTCAAGACAACTTTCAGACTAATAATGTACAGTTTATTAAAATATTATTTTACAAAATGGCGGAAAATAATGAGACGAAACAAAAATGTTAATGGATTTTTGGTGTAGCTTTTGAAATTTTCTTATTATTTAAAAAAAACCGAAAACCGGTGAGTGTCCGGAAACTAGAAAATTACCCTATGTTTTAAAGAAACACGTTCGAAAATCGTACCATATGCTTAATGTTCTTAAGTATTTTTAAAAATTTTTTTTTTACATTATTGCAAAAAAAATATTTAAATTTAAAATAAAATCACATACAAACCCTGCTTTCGGAAATGTCATGTGATTCCCGCTTTCGGGAATGTGATTTTGAATGTCATCCAAATTTGTATAAAAATTGCAAATTGTCATATGTTCACCACTAATAATTGCAATTGTAGTTGCAAATGTCATACTTTCGGGTTTGTAACTTAAATAAAATTAATTATCAAAAAATTAAATAAATTAATATTGTCAATTGAACTCTTATTTTATCAGCATTTATTGTCACATATGTATAAGTAAGTATTATTCAAATTTGGCTTGATGTTCGTGTTTATGTTGTTGGTTATCATTAAGTGTAGCTGAAGCGGAATTTTGCTGAATGTATAAGTAAGTTTATGGGTAGTATTTATATGATTATATAATTAATTATAATGTACGCTGCCGTTCCATTTTAGGTATAACCACTGATTGAAATGACATGAGCTCATATTATGATAACTCTTTATACCAAATGTCTACGGGATATCACAGTCCACAGGACTGAACATCACATATCAACATTCGTGCCTGGATATCATAAAGTTAACATGTTCAACTCTATTTATACTTGTTAATATATTCTCCCTTTAATTTTTATACTATCTTGAATAATTCAAATTCAAAATTTAATTGAAAAAGTTAAATGATTTTCTTTTCTATTTAATTTTATATTCAAGGTTTTAAAATTTTTTGTTAAATCATTCTAAAATTATAAAATGTTCTTAACCATAAAATTAATATAAAAAATTTTTAAATACATATTCAACAAGTATAATTTAAATTTTATAAGAAAAAATGCAAAAAATTATAATTATGGTAATATAGTGCAATGAAACTAAAAATAAATTATGTAATTTAATCCGGTATTTATATACCGGATTGTCTGCATATAAAGTTAAAATTTATTAACATCTTACACGCGTGTAATATTTTTAAACTAATTCAATTATAATTTGAAATAAAACTATAATAGTTTTGGATACAAATAATTTAATTGTTTTGAAGATTAATTTAAGTAATAATAAGTGTGGGAATTCACCTATATATCATCTATATCGCTTATATCACATATCCATGTACTTAAGCACCCGTGTGTTCTGTTTTTATATTAAAATTAAAATATAAAAGCTGCAATTACTATTTATACAGCCTTTTTGTTTTAATGAAACAAAAAACAAAAAGAGGCAATTAATTCCACTTAATTATTTACTAAAATAAACTTTAATCCTTTTTAATGAATAATCTTTTAAACCAAGCAAAATTTTTTATTTATTTAAACAATAAAATGTAGATTAATGTACAATAATATAAAATAATAAAATAATAAAATATAGCTGCTCAGACAAGTGTTTTTAATTTTAATTATTATCTACTTTTACATGAAAGGTTATAAAACCTTTTTAAATGCAATATTTAACTTTAAAAAATTTTAAATACAAATAAAGAAAATTAACAATTTGATATGTTAAAATTTTTATAATACAAGCACTTTAACCAGAAAGAAAGTAATTCAAAGAATAATCGAGATTTTCATTCCATTACATTCCATTGCTTTTCCAATAATCTAATTTTATAGTTCAGGGTAATTCTAGTACTACTACATCTTATTGATTATCCCTATAGTAAAACTACACCCTATTAAATTAGCTGTGTTAACACAAAGGTAACAAACAACAATTTCATTTCAAATGATCATTATTACAAGGTTCCAAGGATTTACATATTGTACTATATAATTTTATGCCCGTAATTGTATAATTTTAGTGCTTGTATTCCCATACTTAGAACTTGTAAAACTTCAAAGAATTTGACACGGAATTTTAAGTATAAAAATGAGTAATTGAAATAATTTATTATATAATCCCTAATATGTTTATGAATCTTCGTGAAATTTTTGAAAATAAAAGAGTATTTTCGATAATTCCGACATGCAATTTTAAAAGTCGTTTTATCAATACTTGAAAAACTGTAGAAACTAAATATTTTACTTTTGCAAATTTGCAACATACTCGTAATACAACATACTTGAATAATTCTTTAATATCTAACATTTTTATATTATGCTCCTTTTCTAATTTAGAATATTTTTTGTAGTAATTATAAAAAAAAAACTTAAACATTGCTTTAGAGTTTTAGGAATAACTTCGTTTTCATTGCATGTTATTTTTGCGGATTTTGCAATTTGATTTTTTCGAATGATCTTCATATTAAGACCCGACTAAATTTATTAATAAATACATTACAACTTTAAGAATATTGCAGTTTTACATCTACTTAATCATTTTTTTTTTTGCTTTAGATATCAAATTTGATTTAGCAGTGAGTTTCCAAAAATATATTTTGCAATAATTAATAAACTTCAAAATTAGTGGTGAACAAAAAGTGGCCCTATTATTTTCAATTAAATTCAAATGTAAACATGTAATATAATTTTTGTAACTTCTATATGTAGTAGTAAAAGTTACATTACTACATGCCAAGTTTTTTTGAAAAAAAACCTTAAAATGTGATTTACAATTTGTCTTTATTGAAACTAATAAATCTAATAGACTATTAATAATAACAATCATACCTATGATTCGGAAAACTAAATAAATATATTACTTTTAAACCAATAACAAATTCTAAAACAAATAAAATTTTAAAGCTCAAAAATGGAATTTTAACTTAACATTATGTAAAATATATTAATTAAGTTGAAAATTCCAAAAAAAATCCTGTAAATAATTTCAATTTTTATTCAAGGAATTCAACTATATTTAAAAATTTCAAAAATTAATACAGTATTTTCTCATAAAATTTAAATTATTTTAAAACTTTAATATTTTTCTTTTTATATAATTTTATATTAAAATTGTAATTAATTTCATTCTTTCATTAAATTATGTAATTAAATTGTTCGTGCGCTATATAATTATTTCGGTCACATATTAATAATAATTTTCTTTTTCTTTCATTTTCATATTATTTAAAAATGTAAAATTTATACAGAAATGCTTTTTTGTGGTGAACAATATGCATTTCTAACATTCCCCCCACAAAATACATATATGTACTGCAATTTCCTGAAAAGAAATCCATAAAAAATGCACACATACATTAAATACAATTAAATAAAGAAAAAAAAAATTATTTTTTATTATTTTTTAAATTCTATTTTGTTGAATTTATAAATTTAATACATTTACTCCTTTTTTTTATTCTAGTTAGTTTCTGTTAGCTATTTCTATGAAAATTTCTTTGGCATTCATTTAAAATGTAATTTACAAACAAATTTATTGTAAAATGAGAAGCAAATTCGAAACAGAAAAAAAAAAATATGGTTAAAATTAAAATAAATTAAAAAATATAGAATAAAAAAAAAACTTTTATAAATAAGAATAAATTTAAATAATAAAATAAAAAAAATTGTCATAATAACAGAATAAAAAAAAAATTCTCTTAATTACTATAATTGTACATAAAGTGTGTAGAGTAAAAAGCAATTAAAATAAAAATTACAAATTCGAACACAAAAAAAAAAAAAAATGTACAATAATTTCTGTTGCGTTCTTTAAAATTAATTTGAATTTTTTTTTTTTCCATTTTTCATTTTTTAATATAATATTATTCTTCTTTCTTTATGGGATCAGGATATATAGTAAGTACAGTTGGATCTAGTATGTATGCACACTCCTTCGCATATATATAAACAAAGAACAATATATGTACAGTAATAATTGTATTATGTGTCAATATCTTCAACAGATTCACCTTCAAGTAAAAGTCTCGGTTCATGTCTGTGCCTTAATTTATTTGTTAAATTTTTAACTTTATTATTTCGACGATTCTGTACACCATTTTCTTCGTCCATCATTCTAAGTATAGTGACCTGAAATGAAAAAAATGGAAAAAAAAACCAAAATTAAAATAATGAAATACATACACAAGTTTAAACGGAAAATTATAAAAAAATAAAACAGGATAAAAGAATTTTATGTAAACAAAGGATTAACAAAAAGGACAAAGGAAATATGTATAATAAAATAATATGTATGATGTGCTCAGCACATAACCGATAACATTACATATTTTCTGAATAACATTTTAAAATTCTAATGAACATAACTAGTTTAGGATCAGGGGCTGCATAAATAATTGAATATACTTCTCTTACAAATTGTACTACTAATATATCCTACTTATATTTATATTCTCCTGTAAACAACTAGAAATACTACTAAAATACTACCTAAATACTATTAAAAAATATAAAACAAGTTTATCTCAAAATAAATTTTTGTAATTCAGTTTTACTGAAAATTTTGTTAATCATTCGCATTGAAGAAATTCAATTTGTTTTTTCTATTAGAAATTGTTAAAAATCGACTTTCCTCGTTTCCTGTAGAAAACTTGCCGAGTTACTAAAACCTGTCATACTATTAAAGATTTAGAAAAATTATCACTAAAATAAAATCATATACAATTATGTTTATTAAAGTCATTTTAAATAAAATTGAGATTCAGAAGCAATAAACAGATACAAGCGACAATTCCAACATATCCTTAAAAAAATTGTTCATTTCACATTTCTTTACATGAAAATATGAATTTCTGTTAAAAATTCAGTTTATGGAATTTGATGTTATTACAACAAGACCGCCCATATTGTTTACAATAGAGTCCGTAAAAAAATTAAAACAAATAAAAAATATGAGGAATACTAATGAAGAGTTAATGAAAGAAAGAATAAAAATCAGAAAAAAAAAAGGTGAAATGTGAAACATTTAAAAAAAAGTTTTTCTGTATATTGAAAATTCTACTAATTTTTTTTGTTTTTTAATGGTTGTACAGTGAAACACTTAACATTATTATTCAGATCCATTTTATTTTACTTTAATTGAATATTTAAATGAGGGTATGATATGTGGCTTTATATAGTCCAGATATTATATTTTAAAAATACTTGAAGGCATTAATTTTATAATTTTAAAAAATTATTAGTATAATGTCGACTATTGTTTGTCACTTGAATTTTTATAATATAATCGCAATACTGTATATAAAATAGATTGAATGTTAAGGTTTTATAAAAAGCAATACCTAATAACTTAAGCAAAAAAAAAAACAGTTTTCTTGTGCCATTATACGCTTGATTCATTGAAATCACAACTTTAAATCTATTCTAATTAATAATAATTTATTATCGAACGCAATTTAATTTAATAATGAATCGACTAGGGTCCAAGAATCATTTTAAAATTAATAAAAATGTGAAAATGGTTAAGGAATTGCCTCTGTAATATTTTTCATTGATGATATTATATGAAATATAATTTTAAACGAACTAGTCATCTACATATTTGAAAAACAATATTGAATTTTTAATTGATACACATATTATAGCTGAAATCTGAGTAAAGCTACTTAAAATTAAAATTATTGAATTTGACCTTACTATATATGTTAGTATTGACTCTTAGCTAATATTTGCATGAAATTATATTTAACTAGTGGGTAAATGAGGGCAATTGATATGGAAATTAACATGATTCTTAATATAAAATACTATAACTGACATCAACTGTTTGTAATTGAAAAAAGATTTTGTACAATTTTTTCAATTGATCTTATATTATAAATCTTTCAAAATAATTTGACTAAAATATTAAATTTTTGATATATTAGTTTTCAAATAAATATTTTGTTAATTCGAGAATAAAATTACCCAAAAAATATCGGTAATAAGCCAAAATTTAAATTGCTTGTAACAAATTTTAACAATAAAAAATAAACTTCCAGATGATTTTCAATAAAAATTGTTATAAAAATATTTGGCATGAATGGTTTTTATAATTAAAATATTGAAGGAATCAATTAATAAAGCGAAAATTCTATAAATTTCATCCCTTTGTTTTTCTTTTAAATCCTATCATATATGTAAAGTCTTTATAAACAAGTGTTAACAAAATTTAATACAACCAACATAAACAAAACTGAATTTAAAATTTTTACAATTGAATTTAAAATGGAAAATGTAAATTGAATAAACTTGTAAAAATCAATAAGATTTTTTCTACTTTAAAATTATTACTATATTTATTTGACATTAAAATAATTCAATAATTCACTATAAATATATAAAGAAATAATTAAATGCAATTGTGTATAATTGAAAAATTTAAAAGAATTTGACATTAATAATGTTTATTCATTATTAATTATTAAGACAATAATTGAGTATGCAATTTACGGTCATCCTTTTTTATTAATTAATTTACAAATTTCCATATTCGAAAAATATTTAACTTCTATTTAAAAATTTAATCAGTATTCAAGTGAAATCTGATTTTCAAATGCATATGTAAATTTTATTATTAAAATTAAATCTTTTAAAAAAATTTCTAATTTAATTGAAAATAAGTTCATTTTCCTAAATTTGAATTGGAAAATTTTAAAATAAATTTTTGAATTCTATTAATCTGAATTCTTTTATTATATTTATTAAATTTAATTATATTTTTGTATTATTTTTAAAAAAAATATCACACAACTACCACAATTTTATTCAATGAACTGGAAATTTTTTTAATTACAGCATTCAAAAATTAGAAGATTAAATGTCAATATCATGTCTGAAACCTACACACACATGCTCTGAATATGATGAGGAGGAAATTAATATGAAATCAAATATGATAATTAAATTATCATTTTTAGACAACTTTAAATTCTTAATTTTCTAAATAAAGAAATTGGTTTGAATAAATATGGAATAAATTTAGAAATTTTACAATTCAATGCCTTTTAAAATTATAAATACATACATATTCTTAAAATATTTTTAAATGGATTAAGTGTTAAAATTAAAATACTTTAATATATATACATACATAAAAATTATTTTTAAATTTTCTTATAATATAATGCTATATTCGATTATCCTGCTTAAAATTTAAATTTAAAACATTTTATTTTTAAACATTCATCAAAAGTACAATGACTTCTTTGAAAATTACATATGTATGTATGTAAATTTTATTTATAAAATTAATCAAAAAAAAAATATATTTTTATATTATCAAAGGACTTTTTTTTAAACTAGTATCTCACAAAATATATTTCACTAAATTTAAATTATATTCGAAAATTGAATAATGTACTTGATATAACAAAATAATAAAAATTAGAAATTAAAATTCCAAGTTTTATATTGTAATGTAATGTGTATAAGTACAGGACTCCATTGAATAGGACGATGTTATTAATTAATTTCAAATTATTCATTTTTATGATATTCCAATTAATTTTAAAATAGTTTATAAAATATTGATGATAATATTATCTATTAAAGCACATCTATATTCAGCATATTTAAACAGAGAATGTAATATTTGCTTTATATAATCGAATTCATATCTAATATCCTGAATATATTTAAACAAAAAATAATCTACAATATATGCTTTATATAGCCAAAGACCTATGTACATAAGTTTATACGAGTTAGTAAAAAGTTCAGAAGCAATTGAAATTTATAAATATTAAAATCAAAGATAAACTACTTTTGAAAAATTTAAAATTAGCCTGGAATCATTTTAATGCAGTGAATTTTTAAATTACTTTAATTTAAAAATAAAAAATAAATTTTTAAATTACTTTAATTTGGTTATTAATTTAACAAGAATTTCAAATTTAATTAATTCTTTGCTTAACAGTATATTTAATATTCACCAATTTGAATAATTTAATCTTAATATTATTATATAAAATTATTTTCAATTTTAGTTCATCGTGATATTCAATGAATGCCTGTACATACATTATATTTTGTAAATGCAATATTTCATACATATTTGATGTTTTATGAATAATTCCATTCAATTATTATTATACTTCAAAAATATTATACATTTTCAATTTAAAGACTAATATTTTATTACTTTTAAAGGGACTCTTCTTCTAATCAAAATATAATTTATTCTATTCTCAAAATAATATGTTAAAATATATATACATATATGCATGAATTATAAAATAGTATGAGTAACTTATGAAATGTACAAAATCCTTTTTCCTTATAGAAAATAAAAATTTTCCATAATTTTTCTTTTTCTATTTTCGTCCAAATTTTCTTCGCTTTCCTTTTGTTACTGATATAATATTATATCAGCATATTAGTATAGCTCTGTACAATATGAATACACATAACTTGCGGTAATCTTTAAAATTACTTCTGATATAAAAAAAGAAAAGAAATGCAGCGTTACAGTGACTTGAATTATATTATGATAAAAATGTAATTAGAAGGCTCAAATTTTTGTAAAAAAAACTCAAATTTTACACGAATTTACACGGATTAATTGCTTTTTCATATTTATTTCCAATAAGTCTTACAACCCAAAAGAAATGAGCCCAAAATTGTAGATAAGTTTCCCGAATAAACTAAAATAAAAAAGAATAAATAAAAATTTACTTAATTAACAAAATCTTTAAAAATAAAAAAATTAACAGAAATTTTGTATTGCCTTTCGTTTTCATTCCTCTCTAAATCTTATAACACAATTATTTAATAATCCCCTGTTGCGATCGATTACATACAAATTCAATTCAGCATCAGTTCAATAATTTAAGAATAGCACTGTTTGTCTAGACGTGTTATTAATTTTTTTTTCTACCATCTTACACGCATTGAACTTAATATACATATACATATGTATATACTTATATGTATGTATATTTTTACAATGAAATTCTTATAATTCAAGGAAAAAGAAATATGCATGAACAAAATAAAACTCAAAATAGGGGAAAAAAAAATGAAAAAATGAAAAAAATTTAAATTGAAATATATATGGAAAACATACCTGATCTGAACTATCCATTGGTGCAACTGATATATCTCTGACAGCTCTAAATTTACCACAATTATTTAAATGTTCATTTTCCAATCGAAAGAAATTCCATATAAATCTTCGAAATACTTCTAAAGGACTTAAAATTGTTACCATAACATCACCACCAATATATCCGCCTAATATTAAACTCATTGATAATGTCCAACCAAAACGTAATATAAAATCTTCAACAATTGAAATATAATAAAACCACTAGAAAAACAAAATTAAAATAAAAATTAAAATGTAAAATCAACTAAAAACAAAAAATTTTTAAATAGCAAGTTTTTAAGATTAGCAAATTTCCTACAAAAAATATTACATATTATGGAGCACAATTGTAAAAACTCAGTATTGCTCATTGGTGAATTCTGCTCTAAAAAAAAAAGAAGCTGCATTACTAAAACTCTAGTTTAACTTATGTTTTATCAAATTCAATCAAAAATTTTGACAATAACCGGAAATAAAATCCATTAGGAATCTCTATTGATTGCTATTAAGAAATGAGAATGACTGCAAGAATATTGACTATAAACTTAGCGTATACATAAGAATTTTAAATAAACACTTTTGAAATTTCAAGATATTGAAGTTTAAAACTCGAAGTAAGAACTAGAGAAAGATAAGGAAAGGTATTTCACCGAGGAAATCTGCCTTTTATGCCAATTCATATTTTAATTTTTAAACTATTTGCATAAATAGGGTGCAAAAATTTCGTAAATGGACAAACGAGTATTGAGATACCGCCTACAATCTATTTTTTTTTAAATATTTTTGGAAAGCATTACAAAAGCATAGAAAACAGAAAAATAACGAGCATAAAAAGAAAACAAAAATTTGTGGTTCCAAATTTCGAATCCTTAACAAAAAAAAAAAGAAACGAACATAAAAGGAAAACCTTAAAAATATTTTTGATTATACAAGGAAAAAAATACTTCAAGAAAAAGAAAAGGATTCAAAGAACAACAACAGCATCAAATTGTTTTTCCTCCTTATTTTTTTCCCTAAACTTGTAACGATACTCCAACGATTTTATCTATGCTTATATAGGTGTTCAAATATTTTATTTTCGCACATACCGTTGATGAATAGACAATTTCCTCTCTTAAAAATTTATTATCTCCAGCTTTTGAATCAAATAAACCCCAATCCATTTTAATATCCCATGTATATGCATAACAAGATGATATTATTGATGCTATTATCCAACAATAAAACCATGGATTATCCCAAAAATTTGCGTAAACTGATATTGATGATGATGATAATGATGATGGTGTACTATTTGCTGGTACTGTGAAAATAAAAGAATAAATTTTATTTAGTGTAATGTTTTAAATAAAAAATAAATTCAAATAAATTGAAAATCAAAGTTAATGAAATTTAGAAAACTGAAATTTTGACAATAAATAAAATAATTACTTTTGTAATGGAAAACGAGAAAAAAAATAGAGTTAACCTTCTCAACTCTGTGATACCCGTACGAATTTGTTATCCTATGTGCGAATAAAGATGCCATAACTATCAAGCCATATTTATGAAGCACATCGGCCCTACTAATATATTCGCTTGTGTGAAATTTCAATACCATAGCTTTTATAGTTTCTGAAATATAGTCAAATAACTTTTCAAGTTGTATAGTAGATACCAGAAGGAGCCAAGTAATTTCAACGACTTTTATGAGACACATTGGCCCTACTAATATATTCGTTTGTGTGAAATTTCAATACCATAGCTTTAATAGTTTCTGAAATATAGTCAAATAACTTTTGAAGTTGTATGGCAGGTACCAGAAGGAGCCAAGTAATTTCAACCACTTTTATGAGACACATTTTCCCTACTACTATATTCGTTTGTGTGAAATTTCAATACCACAACTTTTATAATTTAGCCAAATAAATTTTGAAGTTGTATGGCAGCTACTAGAACCGGTACCCCGATCATGTCCTTAATTTAAATAGGGTTCTGGCACTTACTACAATAAATCATTTGTGAAAATTTTGTGAAATTAGCTCATTTAACTTTTGAGTTATCGTTGGGACAGGCGGAAGGACGGACGGACGGACGGACAGACAAAGCTAAATCAAATCAGAATTTGACGCTGATCAAAAACATACACTTGAGTTTATATCTAAGACCGTTATTTCTTAGCGTTACAAACGGTAAATTTATACCCTTCGAACATACGTTCGTACGGGTATAAAAATATTTCTACCTTAAAATGCAAGTTTTGGAAAACTTACTGCATTCGAACCATAGCCAATTTTCAAATTCAGAAAACGCAACAGAGGTGACAACTCATTCTATTTTCAGAAATAAAATCATAAGTAAATAATGTGTACAATAAGAAAATAAACTGTATAGTATTGAACCGATTTTATTACTTCATTTTTATATGTAGCCCATCAAATGGGTTTCGAATTTTGAAAAAGAATTTTCGAAGTTAAAAGTTTCCAATTTTTTTCAAATTAATTCGGAAACAAAGTCTCTTCGTGTTCGAAAACGTGTAACCTTTATTTCTTAATATAATAAACATACGGAAATCTAGGTCTCAAATTGTTATAGTCTTAATTAATTAAAACTTTTATTAAAATCTGTTAGATACCAGTTAGGAATTAAAACACAAAATATTAAAGTTGAACAATTTTACTCTTAAAATTTAAGAAAATTCTGACTTAAATACTCTCTAAATAATTAAAATTAATTCTCAATAATTTCTGAATAAATTATATAAAAACATTAAGAATGGAAAAATATTATTGAATTTATTGCAATTTTTATTCAATTTATATTTTTTGTAAGTTCTCTATAATTTTATGTACTGTAATTGATATTTTGATTTTTAATAAAATTTCATAAACAATTCCTGCAATTTATAAGAATCATTGTATATGCATTTTTTTTTTTTTATTGAAAATTGAAATTATTGGAATTGAATTAAAATAAAATTAATTATCAATAAAAAGATTGAAATCAAATTATACGTGTGCATAATATGAAAATCTTTTATTATACGTGTATTATAACCTAAATTGACCCCCCAACAATACAGGTTCAATTTATTTTATTTTTATTTTTATTTTATTTTTCAACTTTTAACTTAATTAATTAACAATAAAATTAACGAATCTATGAGAATTTCAACCAACAATAATTAATTCATGTAGTTTGTGGAATATTGTGGTTTTATTTTGTGGTTGAATTCATTATACTATATAGTTTTATAAATAATAAGGATATTATGTAAGTTATTTTATTCCATTCAGAGTGTCTGGCTGAAAAATAATATTATAAAGAATGTAGAATAAATTGTGTTAATTAAATGAAAATAAATCAGAATTTGATAAGAAAAAAATTCTATTTTGAAAACGTTTCTTTAATTAAAGAAATAATTTGAAAGCAGAAATTTCAGAAAACTTAAACGTAAACTATTACGACAAATTAGAACACGTACGACAAATATGAACTAAAGAATGCTGGTAAAAAATCTTGTATTGTCTGCTTTAATTCATGTCGAAAGTAATATTTTGTTTGCATTATTAACACAATCATATTTCAATTCTTTGCTTTTAACAAGATTTCATTACAATTTTCAATTTCTTGGACCTGGTTTAAAGAACTGCAAATCTTAGAAATTTATTGTATAATAGCAATATTCCTCCCTAATGCGCATTCCTCCTACTTCTATACATGGGTAATCGCCATAAATTACTCACGGGGTGATAGAAAACATAATAATTTGTAAATTGAACAATATGGGAAAAAATACCAAAATTTTAATCTTTATTTTCTTAATACTAAGATAAATATGCATCCTCAATAAATTTCTCTCCCTCAACTACTAAATTGTGTTATATATTGCGGTTTGGTAGTGCTACACGTGTGTTTTTGTGATATACACCATTAAAACATTTAATTTTCAATTAAAATTGATGAAACCTAAAATGGATTTATTTGAATTGCTTTTTGTATTTCAAATTAATATTAAGCTCTTAATCTAATTAGTACTTCCCGAAATTAATGAGATTTTATAATAAAAAGATTTACGAACTTAAGGAATGAAAATGCTTAGAATCTCAGTCGGTTTTTGCGGAATTTGAGAGAAAGAAAATATGAAATCTGACCACCAACGGACCCTAAGTGGTCTAAGGATACCCTTCGGGAGGCGGCATCAATCTAATCACAAAGAAATTTCAAATGAAATCAGGTTTATCAAAAAAAAAAATGTTGCATCACTTTCATTACCTATTTTATTATTATATTTTGCAATTGATCTTAACATAATTCTTATGATATATTTTATTGGTTTATTAACAATAAATAAGCAACACCTGTGCTTCATATTATAATAAAAAGAAATGTATAAAATATCATAAAAAAATAAATTTCCATTTTCCTCACTTTCTTATAAAATGTAAGCATGTGTTTTGCCAAAAAAAATAAAACTTTCCTAATTTAAAAATTTATTTTTATTGGAATTCAAAATATCAACAACAAAATAATATTTAACCTATCGTTTACCCATGATAGACTTATCAATTTTTTAAATTAATGTTATTGCAAATAGATACGAAATACAATAGGAGTTATACATATCTATTTAGTACATCGCATCTACACAGACAGCTCACCAAAAAAAAAAAAGGCTATAAAAATAAAAATATTTTATCAAATACATTTTTCGTTTAACAAAAGCAATACTCAAACCAAAGTATCATTTAATATTAAACTGACAGTATATTGGCTATATATACATACAATATACACTAATGCATATATAAAATAAAAAAAATAATATAAAAAGAAAATGTTTTTTCTTTTTTTATTTATCCATTATGCACAATTTATTGTTAAACATAGAAAAAAAATTAATAATTTATTTCATAGAAAAACATTTTTATGAGAGCAGTAAAAGATCTTAGTCTTACTTTTATTTTCAGTTTCATATAAATTATGAATATGAAAACGAAATCTAATAGGACTAGCATATGGCCGATTCTATTGTACAAAATATTTAAAATCCTTTATGAAAATTTAAATATTAATATTGGATTGCTAGGCGATTTGAAAATTTCTCTAAAAATTACCCTTCATTATTCACGGGGCATTGCCCAGTGAAGTACCACCTGCATAGGCTGGGGAAGCCGGGCTCCCCCCTATGCAGATTTTATGGAGGTGGCGATGAAACCGCCGTGCACATTCTCTGCGACTTTCCGGCACTGGCTGTTCGGCGCCGCAATTGTCTTGGACATGGGTCCCTAAGTGTTCGGGAACTGTTGTCCAACTTCCTTAGGGATATCTGCGTCTTTTTGGTTGGGACGGGGATAATATAGATGGGAGCGTGGGGAGGTTACAATAAGTCAAGAATGGCTGCGGTGGCTTTGGGGGTTACTCCTGTCCCACTCGGTTCCCTTAAAATCTACAAATCAACAAGATTCTACCCTTTATTATAAAAGATTTGTTTTTAATTTCCCGATTTTCTCAAAAAAAAATTATTATATTAAATTTAAATTAGTATAATTGCAATAAATCCCGTATTAAAATTCCAGTTCTTTTCATCTGATTTCCTAAAATGTTTAGCCAAATATAGTAATTGAAATTTCTGGAAGACATTCCTTCATCATAAATTTAATCATCAATTGTTCAGTCTAAATCGATAGGCAAAAGCATATAAATAACGAATGGACTGCCCGGCTAATCTCAATCATAATAGTTTTTCCCAATGAAAATTTAATATATGAAATTTAATGATATCATCACAATACCTCCCGTTCTTATATTCTTATATGAACAATAAAAGCTAAGTATTTTTCAATTATAATTGCTTTCTTATTCCTTTTATATACAAAATTTTTTTTTTTGCTTTGTGTCCATTATTTTGAAGAACATCCTTTTTTTTTTCTGAAATTTTACTTTTATTAAGTGATCTAACTTATAATTTTTGAAGAGTAAAAGATAAGAAATGACATTAAATAAAATAATATTTTTATACATAAAATTTGACTTATTATTTGTATAAAAGTTAATTTAGCTATAAAAAAAAAAAAAACTTTTGAAAACAAATTCAAAGTAATTTGACTTCTTTTGTTTTCATAATTTTAAATTACTACCCTTTTAAATTTATAAGAATATAATAGCTATTTGTTTATATAAATAATTTCTTGTAAAATATTGACTACCAAGTACAAAATAAATTATAAAATTTAAAAGAAAATTTTTCAATTTTATTTTTTAAATTTCAATTAAAAATAAGAGAAATACAACCAATAAAACTACTCCAAATAACCAAATAATTTTAAAATATGTAATTAAAAAAGTTTTGGTAACCCCAAAATTTTATTAACTATTTGCAAAGTTCTTATAGTCAATAAAAACAAATAATTTATATGCAAATTTAATATTTTAAAATGAATATTACATACAAAAAGTCTTCTACTCTGAATATTCCTGCACTGAATTACTCTGAAAGTTGTTATATGTAATTATTATAGTAATTTAATTTAATTGTAATTAAATGAATGTATTTCAATTGGAATTTAATTCAGAATTTTCTTTTTTATTATATTTTATAATTTAAATACTGAATAATAATAATGGATGGTAGTCAAAAGGATAATTTTTCTTATTCATTACAAACCATGAAAAGCACCACATATAAAAAAAATTAAAATACAAATACTTAAATGAAATTATATAGCAAAATTTATTTTTAATTATGTCAATTAGTAATTGTATGCACAAATTAAAAAAAAAACTCATGATTAATTTAACTCGTAAATTATTTTAAATTCATGATGCATTATAAAAATTTATAGAATAGTGCAAGGGACTCTAATATAATCCTACAAACTGTAAGAGTACTATATGATAATTTATTATAAAACTAAAACCAATTTTTTTTCAATCAATCTTGATTCTCTCTTATTTTAGTCCTTACTTCTTATACAAAGTATTCCTAATTTGTAAAATTTTTTTATTTAAGCTCATGGTTTTGCTTACTCTACGAATACTCGTTGTAATTTTTTTCAAAATTCAAAGTGTTTTCAAAATATTACAAGTTTTTATGAACAGAATTCAAAAAATATTTATTGAAACAATACTAGCTTCGCACTCGTGGGGGAAGGCAGACACACAATTTACCGTTATATGCGGTCACGTTTCACTATTACTTCGTCTGTACAAATCTACACTCCTATAAATCTAGAAACAGTACTAATAAAATGAAAAATATTAAAAATATTAGCAACACTTTCCCTTAAAAAATCTAATTTGGTAATATTTTGAATTTTATTTATTATTTTAATATCCAGTTTTTCATTAAACAACTGAATGCAACTTTTTGTTATATTTTTTATAAAACTTTTACAAGGATCATTACTTTTATTTATTAAGTTTTTGGATTTCCTAACAAGAACTTAAAGGAAATACATACATAGCTACGTACAGCACAAATATTGATGCACATACTTAGTAAAATATTAAATTGCTTTGTATAAAACCACAATATTGTTTCTTATAAATTCAAAAAATGTCCTAACCGCTACTACAGCAAGATTGTAGGATTATAAAAATACAATTCTTCATTATTTCTTTAATGTATGCATGTACATATTCACACATATTATATGAATTTACAATTACTTGTTTGAAATACCAAAGGAAAAGTAAAAATTTAATTTTTCTTAATTTTATTAAGAAACAATAAAACATTTTATACAATGCAAATTTCTCCTATTACATTTTTATAAAAAATACTGTGTATGGATGTTTTTAGAAGAAAAAAATATATTAAATAAAATTCTGTTGTGGTTATCCCTTACTCTACCATTATTCATTGTAACTTCCAGCAATGGAAGAAGAAATTTAATGAAAATTCTTATTCAATTTAAATACTCAAATTGAAAAAAATATAAAACTGCAATTTCTTAAAATTATTTCCATAAAATTAAATTCAAATCTTATATAGAATTGCATGTTATCGTACTCTAATAATATGAAAAATCTAGTAAGAAATCTATAATATAAAGTCATTCACAATGATTTTCTGCAAAATTTATTTAAAGACTTAATAAATTAAAAAAGCAGCCTCAAAACCTAGAAAACAACCAAAACGGATTTTTCAATGTATATCTAAACCTAGAAAATAAAATGATTATGAACAATTTTTTCAATTATTTACACGTACATTGTTTAAGAACACCTTAAAATTTTTAAAATAAATTGAAAAAATCATATGAATCAACATTTTTCAATTCATGCCATTTTGAAATTTTATAAATTTATCAATTTACCTGATGTCATGTTGAAAAGAAATGAGAATATCACAACAAAAAATGATGATGCATATTTTGCAGCATTTACTAAATGAGGAAATGCTTCTTTTGTATCACGATAACGTCTTAAACATTGTGCGAAACGAAACCAAGCTGGTAACATTGCTACTAATGGCCTGGTAAAATTACTTTGACGAATACATGTTTCTGTATCTTTAAATAAAAAAATTAAAAAAAACTTTGGAATATTAATAATAAATATTAAATATATAATTATTTATATTTACCAATTGGTTCACCCCATGTTGGATTTTTACTAAAAAAACATATAAAATGATGTAAATCCATAAAAGCTGGTACAATACTATTTAATTGATCAGCAACCCAGAAATCAGCGAATGTAACATAAAAGAATGGTGCTAACAATATACGCCCTAAAACTCTTACTGTCCAATATCTAGCCTCATGACGAAATGTTTTTGTTGGATTTAATAAAAATACTGCCATTGCAGTATATAAAAATAATGGTGCAGAAAATTGTGGTATACCTAAATCAACATGATATATAAAACATAATACACATATTGTCCATATAACACCAAATATTGCTGCTAATTCCATAATATTTTGTTCAGATAAATGATTTCTTGGATCCAATTCAAATATTAATACATGATTAACACCAGATGAACGCCAACCATATACATTAACACCCCATAAAAATAAAAATTCAATAATAAGTAATGGACCACGAAATAAACGTAATGATACAATAATATCTGTACCGATATTATGAAATAATGATGATAATATTACAGCTAACATAAGTACAACAAAAGCACCCGAAAATAAACCAACTTTAAATGTTGTCCATGGACTTTGTTGTTCACCTAATGGTGGTACTCTTAATCTTTTCATTGCTTTTTGTCTATCACCACCTTCAATATCTTGTGTAAATACTGCTTCTGTTTCTTGTATTAATCTATCAATATCTTTATTTGTATAAAAATGTGCTGCTTCAACTTGATCTTTATGCCATTTACTACCAGTATCAACACTTAATAATTTATCATGTTTTTTAAGTATTTTACGAAAACCAGTAAAATTTAAATTTTGATAATTTTGTAATAATATTAAACCTAAATAAAATTCACTAAATGCTAATTTTAAATCTTGTAATTTTCTCGCTGGAAGATTTTTTTTAATTAATGGTGCTTTTGCACGCCATGCACGCTTTTTATCAACAATACCATCTTCTAATGTTTCTGTTAATTCACTACGTAAATTACCATATTTACGTGTTGCTTCTGCCATCTTTTCAGAATAAAATGTATTTATTTTAGCTAATTCTTTGTCACAATAATGAAAAAATTTTTCATCAAATTTTGCAAAATATCTTGTAACAACTTCTGGATCAACTAATTCAGCTGATGGTGATTGTTCAACAGATGCATAAAGCATTGCTTTCATTTCCTAAAAATATAAAAAATATATTAATGAAAATATTATAAATAGAATACCATTAATTTTAATAAATTTAAAATCCAAATCTATTATATTAAGGAAGATTGAAATTTTAACCGGTTACTGAATTGATTTGAATCAAATTCGCTGTTCATTAACACTAATTTAATATTGAAAGTGAAAACTAAAATGAAAGCAATAGTTTTGGTCCCATCCGCTACTTGACACCAAAGTAAAATTGGTAACATTTATTTTAATTCTAAATAAAGATCAAAAGAAAAATTTGCCCAAAACATTCTTTTGCAATTTGACAAATAAACTACCTAAATGTTGATGTTTAAACTAAGCAAGTATTCCATTATTTTGAAAAGATTCGATTCATTTTCAAAAATAAACTTATCCAAAATTATTCAAAAAAACTCTCATTCTACAATTCCTTCAATATTATGTTTCTATTTTAATTATCAGACTTCATTATATTGCACAAAAATTATATTCATTTTCATCTCTTAAATAAGGAAGGAACCTAAATCCAAAATGAAAGCAAAACTTTTTTTCTTAATATGTTCAAAGTAGAATTAAAATGTAAAACTCAATTATCAAAAATCACTTTAATAACAAATTTCTAACATAAAACTTTTATAAATCTTTTAATTCTAATTTGCAAAATCATTTCACTCCATCTACATATCCTCAGTCAGTTGATTATTATATTAAGTAGAATAAGATCAAACTAATTGCAATTACTTTGTACTCTAATAATAGTAAAAATCTATTCAGGATATGAAAAACTATAAAGGAACAAGCTATATATAAATGAAAATGAATATAAAAAGAGAAAGGAAAGAAGATAAAGATAATTGACAAATTTCATGTTAATTAGTATGAACGAGTAAAATTAAGAATTCATTGACTTAAAAATTGGAAAATATTATCAACTTTATTGTATCCTTTTTTTATTACAACCAATATAAATTGTTTAATTGACATTAAACATGTTGAGTTATTTTATTCGTAGTAAAATCCCAATTGTTTTATAGCAAGGATAAACCTCATTAAAAGCGATTAATGAAATGATGAGATAGAAGAATCATTAGAAGAAGAAAAATGATAACACACGTGAAATCATTTCATTTAAAATAATGTAGAGCTCATAAAAATAATCTAATATTTAAAACTGAACTTTGATTTACTCTAAACAAAGAAAATGTAAACTTGAATTGCTAATATCATGTCATGGCATCATAATTTTCTTAGCTCTAAAGGAAATATTATCTAGTGTAGCGCACTTAATTTGCATTATCAGCATTATCTTCTATCGGATATCAAATATTGTAGAAACATAAATATTTTACATTTTTAAATTTCTAAATTTAGTAGAATAAATTTCTTAAGTAGAAATTATGCAAAAATTCTATTTTAAAAATAGTCTCTTAAAAAAAAGTTGAAATAAATTCATTCATTATAATGTAAATTTTTTCTATCTATCTATATACCTACTTATACTACCTACCTAATTTAAGATAAAATCAAGGCAAAATTCCATTTTAAATACAGAACAAAAAAAAAATTTTATTTGAAATCAGCATTTATTCTATTTTACTAAATTCATAATGAGAACAGCTTTTATATTATAATTTTAAGGTCAATGGATTTCGCAAAAAAAATATATATATACCTATTTTAGAGATACTCAAAGATTTTCATGACGAAGTTTTGTTTATTCTTTCTTTTTAGGCTGTGTTTTTAATGAAGAGAATTCAAATATGTGAGCCCATAATTTAAGTACCTATACGATTTGCTTAATCGTAATTTGAATTGATTTCTAAAATTTTTCTAATAAAAGTAAAAGTAGGTTTAGACCTATATAATTTTGTATCACAATTTTATAGAATAGAAGAAAAAATACATAACAGCTTACAGACCAGTCATTTTGGTGAAGGTGGACATATTTTTGTTTAGATCCAATTAGACTTTCAAAAGTTCATTCAAGATAATCTGTAAAAATTGTGTTCTTTAAAATCCAAAATCATTCATTTCATTCATTACGAGTAAAAACTTAGATTTGAACTGCTTAATCTTATAAGATCCATAATTTGTAAGAAGTAGGTAGGTATGTACTTGCAATCTAATCTATGTGCAATTTTAAAATTTACGCTATAATTTCAAATAGATATTATTAAAAAAATGTTATAATAATATAAATAAATACAGCAAAAATGTCACTTTTAAATAATATAACATTTTCATTTCATGATAGTCCATTTATCGACAAAATGCATCTGCCACTAATAAAACTTCTATAAGGTTTTTGACACAAATTGAATTGAATCTGAAAATTATACAGCAATTTAGTTTAATCAAGATTATATTCGATCGGCTTAAAATTTTATTCCTATACAGAACTTAAGTTAGTATGTACTTAAGTTGGTAGAACTATGTATAGTTCTTATAGTTAGTATTATGGCATTTATAGGCAGTTATAATTACTTATATTTGTATATACATATATATATATGTGTATATGTGAAACCTTTACCTATTCAATAATAAGTTCAAATGTTTGAAAATTGATTGATTTCAAAGCACGAATAATGATTTCATTCCACTTGCAATCATACAATCAAACACTCCATTTATTTTAATTAAAAAATAATAAGAATCAGTCTAATTAACTGCTTGAAAATACAATAACCCTAAGTTTAAGAAATTAAACAAAATAAAGATACAAATTCAAAATTAAAAAAAAACAACAAATTAAAAGCTTCTCATAACATCATTGTAAACAAGTTTATAAAATATTTCAAGCTTTTTTCTTACCCATGCTTAACTAGCATGGGGTAAACAAAGAAAAAATTTTGCCGGCCTACAAAAACTTTTTTTTTTTACTATCTAATCAACCTTTTAAAAAACAAAACAATGCCAGAGCACGTGCTTGATTTGTTTACTAACAAGTAGATAAACTTTTGTATGTACATAAATACGAAACCCTCAACATCAATATAACACAATATAATTTTTGTTTTGATTTAACTAAAATGTCATAACAATTAAAAATATTGTCATGCGCAAAATTTTCATCAAGATTATATTATTTTTCTATTTTTTCTTCCTTTCTCGATGTGACAATGACAAATTGGAAAGCTTCTTTTTATAATTAGTAAATTAAATTGAAAATGAATTTTCTTTATTTTTTTCCTCCTCTTTGCAAAATGGAAATTTCCAATTTTTAATAAATTTATAATTTTACCTCATAATTAATATATTGTTTTCTCCATTCTGGTGTTATATGAGCAGATAAATGCTCAGCGAATTTCATTTTTATAAAATTTTATTTTTTTATACTACGGAAATATTAAAATTTAAAATTTTTTTTTTAGCAAAATTTTTTACAAGAAATGAAAAAAAATGTTATTTACTTCTGGAAAAAAATTTGATTACTAATATCTGTCAAATGAAATGTCAATCAAATTTTGATTTATTATAATTAATGAAAATTAAAAAATGTTTATTGGGAAATCTAATATGAAAATTTATTTGTTATATTACTCACCAGATGGCTAATACCGTTATATGCATTATACTTCAATATGGAAAATTTCACAAGAACAAGGATGGATTGAATTGAAAATTTTAGTTTTTTAGAAAAATTTTTAGTAATCAGTATACTTAAAAAGTAAATATCAAAATTTTAAAAATAAAAGGTATAATTTTTTTATATGTATATACTTGCCTTGTCACATTATTTTCTAGATTATTGTAAAATAAAGGAATTATTTTAAGTCCTCGATTGTCTGCAGTACTTGAAAATTGGAAATGCGGAAAGACTGGATATTATATTAACTCTTAAAATAACCCAATGAATTTGCAAACTTTTATTTTTCTTTAATTTAGCTAAAAATTTAAATGTTGAATATATAATTTTTTTTTTTAAAATCCATAAACGCTAATAAAAATATTGAATGAAAATTTCCAAGAAAATTGAAGGTAAGCCTCATAAATATAAAAATTTTTAAGTTGTATCGTTCAATAATTATCACTTTTATTTTTAGATTTTGAAAAATTAATAATTTAATAATTCTAAGATCAACTTGCAGTTTTAATTATATATGTAGATAGTAATTTTTAACAAGCACAGATTTTATAACTTTCACAATTTCAGAATTTTATGTCATCAACTTGTTATAGATTTCTACATACATCAAGTACATATATGTACGTATGTATATAGTTATGTATATACGTATATGCATTGTTAAAGTGAAATTAATCTAATTTCTGTTCTTTAAAACAATATGTTTAATTAATTTCTGATCAATTAGAATAATTAAATGGGTTTAATTTAATTAGAATAAAACTAATAAAATTGGTAAATATATAAATCTAGTTCATACTTCTTAGTTATTAGTATAGAAGTTAACTATATTGATATAAACAAAAAAAAAAAAATATTAGTTAAAATAAATAGGACATTTCGGGTTTTTTATATATGCCTGTATGTACCTATATACATTTAAGAAAAACTAGAATATTCTTAAAATATAAATTTTATATATTACCTACCTTCTATAAATTGTTCCAAATACAATACCAGTTGCAAAAATAATGTACCATGAATATGATACACAGCATTCGGGTTAAGGAATTTCTAGAAGATTATGTATATGTATAAATTCTAAATTAAAATTTATTGAAATAATTTTTTTATAATTAATTTTTCTGCAATTTAAATTTCAGTGGGTTTACCAAGTACTAGGCAAATAGCAAATCAGCAAAATGAAATTTGTATTTTAATCGAATTAAATTAATGTCCAATTAATTGGGAGTCAATTAAGTTCAAATCCGTATTAATCTATTATAACTGGTTAAATTTGTGCTCTGCTAATTCAACTTTAATTGGTATACATTAGCAGTACATTCTCAAGGTAGTACGTAATATTAAACCAATTGTTTTTATAATATGCAGTAATATGCAGTTTGTGAATTCGAATGAAGTTTATAACATGTGAGAGGTAGATAGAGAACACACAGAAGATTTGCATTATCATATCCACAAATTAAATTAATTCTTAATTGCTAAAATTTTATAATTAATTTATTTTTTTTAGGTTCAAGGAAGCCTTGAAGGAGAAGGAGAAGCATAACAAAACACTATTTTAGGAGCATAAAATTTAAAAATTCAAAAATTGCTATTTTCACCCAGAACCTATTATTTCATACAATAATAATATCATTATTAAATCTTGGACATCTTGTACATATGTATATGTACTCATGTACCTAGATATTCATCTTATATATTTATCTATATATGTATCTATATTTTGAAGAAAACCGTTAAAAATTTTATATCATATATTCTATTTATTATAAATCGTGTATAACTAAAACTATAACAATTATGATAGTGCTAATTTATTAAAATATTTAGTGTTAAAAAATGAAAAGAAAAAAAAAAACAATAAAATTTCATGTTGCTCCAATTTCTATTAAACATAAAGATAAAACAATAATATTATAATTATTTTTAATAAGTAAAAATTTAAGTTCAATAGTAAGGGAATGACCATAATATTCACTTGAATCATTTCAATTATTATTTTATTTAAACAAAATGAAATCAATAATGAGAATACACGCGTGTGTAGTCTACAAATAATAAATCCTCACCTACATATTATATACCTATGTACATTTTTTTCACATTTTGAAATCAATGAATTGATCTTCTTTAGCACTACTAAATTATAAATTTATATAGGTATTATAGATTTAATTTTCAGTATATAATATATTCTTAGTAATCTATTTTTTTAAATTTTGATTGAAAAATTTTACTGAATCAATCGACATACCATAATATTTATTACTAGGACTATTTAGTTTAAAATTCTTATTGTATTTTTAATAATTCAAGCCCCAATATACATAATTCAAATCAACAAGAAAAAATCTTATCTGTTTATTCATTATTAATTTTGATATTATCCTATACAATAATGTTTAAAAATTAAAAATAAATAATAATAAATTATATATTCTTTTTTCTTTGTAGATTATTTTCGGGAAGTAAAAGTAATATAAGAAAAAAATAAAATAAAATAAACACAATATGATTTTTTAGATAAATACGAGTATGTATACGTACATGAATAATTATTATTTGTATAATAAATTACAACTGTTATGGATCATTAATAAATAATAGATCATCAAGAAAATCAAGAATTGTTTACATTATTTAAAATACTCAAAATTTTTGAAGAATATTCCACCATCATAATTGTAATCAACATGTAAACATACCAATGAAGGAACTAACACTGAATTGCTGTAAATAAAATTGAGAATAAATATTTTTAACAATTAACTGCATCTATAACTATAATAATTTAATGTAATTAAGTGAGGAAATGCAAAATACTTGGCATTTAACATAAAATAATATAAAACACTATTTTACTACTGTAAAATTTATTTACTATAAAATAAGCAAAATAATCTACTTTAATATAATACCTATAGCATAAGATAGCAAAATATATTTAACCAATTGTCCTACATATAACCTTCACAAATTATAGTTTTGGATATTTAAATATCCAAACATCAGTTTTAGATATTTTTCTTTAATTTTTGTATATTATGTACATTCTAGAAAGTGACAAGATTTTTTTATATATGTACATATGTTTGTAGTTAAAAATTATAATAATCTATATTAAAATGAATCTAGAACACTTTCAAATTTTATAAATTATTTTCAAAGAAAGTTCTAAATTAACAAAAGTCCATACATTATAATATGTATATGTATATGTTATTCTAATTCTTAAAAATAATAATTTATTTCAAAATTTTCATAAGAAATTTATATACAAAAGTACTGAATCTTTATTTTAAAAATATATACTAACATACTAACATATAAATTTTTAAATATATAGCTTCAATTCATTTCAGATATGTACATACATACATATAAAAATCGGTAAAGATCAAATCCGAAGATATTCAAAATCCGAATATCTTTAAAATATCTTTGACAAAAAAAAAATTATTTTTGAATGAAACATAAACTATTTATTTGTAGAAATTTTAACATAAAATTCAATTATTATTAAACTTATATTTCAAAAAGTCTGTTCGTCTTTTACTGTAGGAAAGTGTCATTATGATTTTAACATTAAGATTCTATCAAATGTAAGAAAATTTATTATTAATAATTTATTGTGTTTAATTAAGTTGATGCCCAACTCTCAAAATTAAATTTTAAATGTAAAGAATTGGGACTTGTTGTTTATCTTAGTCTGTTATACTTAATTGTCTTATTCATAAATTGTATATGATTTAAAATTAATTAAGTATCTCAATAAAAGGAAATTTAATATAATATGTAATTCTGTACTTTTTAAAAAACCTCATAGAAATTAACAACTTGCTAAATCCCTTAGTATTTTATTTTTTTTTTTTATTTACTTACTAATAAGTACATAAATATAATAAATCTGTCTGTGTCACGGTTACATATATTATAATAATTTTAAATCTTCAAAAATAATTAGCACCTTTTCATTTATTTACATATCTGTACTTCTAATATACTTTAAATCTTAAATAGTATAAGAGATTCCAATCTTAAATAGTATAAGAGATTTTTTATTTTATTAAAATTTAGTATATTTTAAAATGTAATAGAGTTAACATTATATTCATTGTTTAAATTGTCGCAGATTATAAAAATATTAAAACCTTTATTAAATTAATATTAGAAATAATTAAATGCGATAATATGCGTCGGATTATTTAAATTTAAAAATTATTTTACTAAATACAAAAAATAATTACAAGAGAAATTTTCAAATTTAAATATAAAAATAATTTATCAATAATTTAGAATGTTAAATTTTTATTTAAAATTAAAATTATAAGAAAATGTTTATAAAATTTCAATTATTTATTGTATATTCAAGAGTGTTCATAAAGTGAAAAATTAATTAGAGAATTTATATGATTTTAAAATAATTAATTTTAAAAACAAAAAATAAATTTAAAATAAAATATTCTTTTAAATGTATATTAATCAATTTATTTTATATTAAAATAATTTTTATGAGAAAAAATATTATAAAATTAATATTTATATATATTTAATAAAAATTTAAATGATAATAAAATGATTAATATTATATTAAGTTTAATATTTATGGGTCTAATTGGATATGCTATTGGTAAGGATCCAAATAATAATACAAAACTTCTAACTAATGGTCAATCAAGACAAGCTAGATGTGAGTAATAAAATTAAAAGAGATTTTATGTAAAAAAAAACAAAAAAAAAAGAAGGTATTAGGTCATTAAGTATTCACAGTATAAGAAAGGGGTGTGGAAATTAATTTTAATTTTTAGTTAGAACGTAGTTTTTTTTTTTGTATTTACATATTTAATATGGCATTATAGAAATTAGATGTAGTAATGTGAGGCCTTATATATGACAAATATTTATAAATATTTATGCAATGTAAAATATTTAAATAAGCTAATTAATAAATTATTTCAAATTTACATTTGATATGGAACATTAAAAATTTATTTTATAATTCTTTAATTTACTAAAAATTATGATTTATTATAGTATAAATTAGCTATATCAGTGTTTCTCAAAGAAAATTAAAAAATTAATAAAATTATAGATTTTTCGTTTAAAAATTAGAAATATCTAGACTTGTAATTGTGGAATCCTGTGCCACAATTCCTATTTTTAAAAATCTATACGTATTTTCCGACGGCACAATTTATAGGGCAATAGTTTTAAACACAATCACTACCCTTCACGACCGGTTAATACACCTTATGAATTAGATTAACAAGAAACTTCTTGTCACACTGTCTAGCATCTTTTAAAACATAGATGTGAAAATTGCGGCCCGTGGGCCGCATGCGGCCATTTTCTTATTTTGGTGCGGCCCTCTAAAACGAATTGTTAAAATATTATTATGGTTTATAATAAAATTTATGTGATCACGCCGCTCGTTTTTTGTCATTATTTGGATCAACATACATTTTAAGACTTGTTCAACAGAAGCAGTGTTACTCAGCTCCCAGTACTTCTAATAAAAAATAAATAAACGTTTATACACCTTAAAAATTGAATTAATTGTTTTATTTTGTGGCCCTTTTGTCATACAGAATATTGGAAATTGGCCCATAGTTTCAAAAGTCTTGACATCCATGTTTTAAAACAAAAGGTACCTTCAAAGACAAAATTTTTATAATATTCAACATTCGTCAATCTTAAACTATATTGAATCTTTTAGGATTAACTGGACATTAAATATTAAAGTGGAAATTTATATTTTTTAAATGAAATTTATGTAATTTCACGTTTAAAATTTTTTTAAGAATCAGTTTTTTTTTTAAAGAAGATCTAAGTTTACTTTTAAAATTATGGTCTTTTTTTTTTGGAAAGAGCTGTTCATAGCCAATTACATGATTTTGATATACCATAAAGCCGTTTTTGTTATATTCAATTGGGCAAAACTTATACTAGTCATTTAAGTTCGCAATTTCATAATATAAAAATTTTTATTTGGCTGTAGACTCATGTAGAAATTTAAAAAATCTAAATATATAATTGCATTTTTTATTTTAAAACAAAATCTGGACGAGTATTTTGAACCTGTACTGTTATATATAAATAAGTAATGCTTTTAATACCGTAATATTTTTCTGGGATTTGAGAATTTGAAACTGTTTCTTAAGAACTTTTTTAAATATCTTTACATTTTTTATATTTTAGAAAATAGAATTTCATTATTTATATTCATTTTTCATAGACTATCAAGTAATGTTGCAGGATTAGCTGTAAGAAAGCCCCTATATCATTAAAACTGAAATAAGATATATATGTATGTGAATATTTGGTACAGTTTTAATTACGCTCCAAAAGCTATGGAAAAAATTCAAAATAGCTATCACGAATAATATAAAAAAAATTTGTGTCCAACTTGTATATACAATTTAACGCATATTATGCAAAACGGACTTTTGACAAAGTTTAAGACAAAAGAGAAAAATTATAAAGCAAAGAATTCACTACCAAAACTTTCTTAAATAATATTATTAGCATTATGACATCAAAAACCTATTAACATTCCTTTTGTACATACAATCTTACAAATTTAATAAAATTTGAAAAATACCACCAACATATTGTGGGTCATTTAGAACTAAACATAAAAAAAAAGTGTATAGATTAAATAACTTAAACAATATAATAAGAATTGTAAATTTTTAATATTTAGTTTTGTAAGCGTTAAATAACTTTAAAATACTTTAAGCAAGGTGTTAATTTTGGTAATAATTAGTATTCATGCATTAACCCATATGCATAATATTATTTAACAATTAAATGATATTGTATAACACGAACACATTTCAATTATATTTTTCAGTTTTCCCATTTTATACAATTGGAAGATTTTCAAATGATCTTTGCATTGGAAAAAATTTAATGTCTGGAACTTGTGTTATTAAAGGAGAATGCTCTGATAATGGAGGTGTTGCTACAGGAAGTTGCAGTACTATAACAAAACAGGCTGTATGTTGTGTTTGTAAGTTTTAAATTTATTTCAATTATATGGTTTTTTTTTATTTATTAAAAATTTTATATTAGTGTTGAACTTTTTCATTAGATCAACAGTCTTGTGGTACAACAACAGCTTTTAATAACACATATTTTTATAATAGAGGTTATCCAGGAACTTTTCCAGGTGGATCAAGGTAATTTTACAAAAAAAAAAAAAAAACATTTCTAATATTCCTTTCTATACCTGTAAAGATATTTTTAATTTTAGTTGCACATTAATTGTTGAACCGTGTGATTCTGGTATATGTCAATTAAGAATTGATTTCTTAGCATTTTCTCTGGCACCACCAAATGGAGATGGAACTTGTAATATTGATTATTTTTCAGTAAATGGTGGATCATCAAGAGTACCTCGAATATGTGGTGAAAATTCTGGTTCACATGTTTATGTTAATTTTAATGGTGAAAACCCAATTACATTATCAATTTTAACAACAGCATCATTTACATTTAATCGTCAATGGCAAATGCAAGTATCACAAATTTCGTGTAATTCACCAAATTTGGCACCGTCCGGTTGTTTACAGTATTATTTTGATACATCTGGTACAGTACAAAGTTTTAATTATGGTTCAGCTGCCAGTTCAGCTTTAAATTCTATAGGTTTACCGGGAACAAGACAAATAGCAAATCAACAATATGGAATTTGTATTCGAATGGGTTCAAATCAATGTTCAATAACTTGGAGTCAATTAAGTTCAGATCCATATTCATTTACTGTTACTGGTGACGTTGGTGCTCTTGATCCAACTTTAATTGGTACATCAGCAGTACAATCACAAGATTGTACAACTGATTATGTTATAATACCATATCCTACACAAAATAATGCAAGACTTCCAAGTGATCGATTTTGTGGTTTAGGTTTGGGAGATACAACAAGTAATATTAAACCATTTGTTTTATATGTAGTTACAGATTCGAATGAAGATTATGATATATCAAATAGAGGTTTTGCATTATCGTATTCACAAAATACATGTCCAATTTCTTAATTGTTAAGATATATTAATATACAATAAGAACTGATTTAGAAACGTAAAACTTAATTTAGGTGAGAACAGAGAATTTTTTTTTTTTGTTTTGTAATAAAATGCTAGAATTTTTTTATTTAAAATTTAAATAACTTTGACTATATTTAAAATTGAAAACAATGTAAATAACAGTTTAGATTTTAATTAATAAATATCGTATGATATTTTAAAAATAATATTAAAAAGCTTCACTTTAATTTAATATTAATTAAGGCGTTTAATAGATCTTGAACTATGTATACTGTGATCATTTAAACTTACTTTCATATTCGGAAATAAATTTTTCATAAAATTGCCTTTGTGTGATCCAATTAGTCTAACATCATGATGAAATTCCTTTTATTTTACTTATTTCTAGTTCCAAATGCTTAATCTAAAAATTAAACAAGTTTATATTATAATTAATACAACAATAATTAAAAATCATACTCTTTCCAAATGCTTCGATTGCACAGTTTCATTCACAGACCTCTTATACCCTTCACTTGAAATTGTTATCATTAATTTTTTTAAATCATTTTCCAGTCTTGTCAGCTTTTTTATATTTATAGATGAATTATCATTTGATTTAACTATGATCTCATTCGTTTTAATACCTTAAAAATTTAAAATACTTAAATAAATAGCAACATATTTTATATAACAAAAGTAATAATATAATTTTGCTTACCAAAACTACATAAATGTCCAGCTGTTGAAACATAATTAAATTTTTTAATATCATCTGAATCTTTAAATAAAAATAATTCCGAAATTTGAGACAAAGTTGATATTATATCTTTGTATTCATTTAATAATTCAAATGCTTCATTACTATTTGCAAATAGATAAACTTTTGGTTCGTGTTTTTTAACAATATTATTTTGACTGTTTAATTGACGAATGGATGTACAAATATTCAAAATTTCTGCAACTTCAATTTCAAGTTTATCGTTAATAAAAGTAGAATCTAAAGTATTTTCTTTAAATGAAAATTTTGGAATATGCTGAGATAATTCCTCTGTTATAAATGGTGTTATAGGAGACATCATTTTAAACCCTTCACTCAAACAAATCGCTAAGACTATACAATGAGATACTCCTTTGCTAGAATTTTCTTGTACAGCAGATTTTGTTGTTTCCTAAATCAAAAATTACATAAATTATAAAATTTATAAAAAAAAAAATATTAATTATTACCAAATATGTATCACAAAAATTTGAATAGAAGAATGTTTTAATGGCTTGTGTTGCTAAATGAAAATTATAGTTATCATAGCTTTGATAACATATTTCTTTCGTATTCATTAAACGGCTTAAAATCCATTTATCCATATTACATAGATTTAAACTAGTTAGTTTTAAATTTTCCATAAAGGATGAATCGATTTTAATTTTTTCAAATGATTGCAAAGTATAGCGTGTAGCTTGCCATATCTTGTTCAAAAATAATCTGTTAGTATGGCATTCAGATACATCAAAATTTATAAAATGACTTTTTATATTGTGACTCAGTAATGTAAAACGTAAAGCATCGGTTCCGCATTCTGGGATCCCTTTTGGAAAAATTTTTTTAAAATTTGAAACAGATTTTTTCATTTCATCTGAACTAAGTATTCCGCTATTGTGAGATTTTTCAATTTCTAATTTCATATCCTAAAACAAAATAGTTTTTTACTTTGATAAAAAATTAAAAGTAAGCGCATACCTCAAATGATGCTCCATTTATTACTTGATCTGGCATAACTATATTTCCCAAACTCTTTGACATTTTTCTACCATGAGCATCACAAACTATTCCATTTAAGAGAATATTTTTAAATGGAATATCACCTGTTAATTTTTGTCCTAACATTACCATACGAGCTACCCAAAAAAATAAAATATCATGGCCAGTCTCCATTAAATCCAAAGGATAGAAATTTTTAAACGATTCTTTTGGCCAGTCAAAACAAGAAAATGGAAGTAAAGAAGATGAAAACCATGTATCCAAAACATCTTCATCTCTAGTGATTTTAATATTTTCTTTTCCGGATGTTAACACAGAATTAACTTTTTCAAAAGCTTGTTCCTCAGATTCTGCAGCAACCCAAATTTTTCGGTCATTTATTTTAGCTAAATACGCCGGTATTTGATGACCCCACCATAATTGTCTAGATATACACCAATCTTTAGAATTTTGTAACCATTTAAACCATTCGTTTTCAAAATTTCGAGGATGAATTTTTATTTTTCCTATTTCTACTGCTTTAATTGCTTCTTTAGCCATATCTTGACATTTTAAAAACCACTGTGGACGTAACATATATTCAACAACATCCTTACTTCTAGAGCACATTGGTAAAATCATTTTATGATCTTTCATACCTTTAAGTAAGCCTAAATTAGATAAATCTTTTAGAATCTTATCTCTAGCTTCAAATCTTGGTAAATTTGAAAATTCTTCATAGCTTGAATTAATTTTTCCTTCTTCTGTAAACACACTCATTTGGGTATTTAAATTGTGACGTTCAGCAATTTCAAAATCAATTTTGTCATGGGCTGGTGTTATTTTAACAGCACCTGTACCAAATTCGATTTCCACATTTGCATCAAATATTAAAGGAATATGTTCATTTCGAAAGGGATGCCATAACATAGTTGAATGTTCTTTATATTTTTGATATCTTGGATCATTTGGATTAACTGCTACTGCAACATCACCTGAAAAAATTAATACAATATATATGAAGATTCTCAAATTATAATAGTTACTTAAGTAAATAATGTTACCTAACAAAGTCTCTGGTCTCGTTGTGGAAACAACAATTTCTTCGTCTAAATCTTTTATTTTATACGATATATCATATAGTCGACCAAAAGTAACACTTTTGTTATGGTTAGGAACGGATATAATTGTCGGACCATTTATTTCTCTTGAATCCACTTCAATATCGCTTATTGCTGATTGTAAGGAGCAGGACCAATTTACTAAGGAATTCCTACGTTCAATTAAATTTTCTTCAAATAATTTAATGAATGCTTTTGTAACTGCTACACTTTGTTTTTTATCCATAGTAAAATATTCTTTATCCCAATTTAATAAGCATCCAAGTTTTTTTAAATCTCTATTAATTTTATTCTCTTTTTCATCTTTCCATGCCCATATTTCTTTTACAAAATTTTCTCTACCTAATTGATGTCTTGTACATTTTTTTTCCTTTAATAATTTCTTCTCAACAACAACCTGGGTGGCTATTCCTGCATGATCTGTGCCAGGTATCCAAATAGTTTCATATCCTAATTGCTGTTTTCGCCTGCATAAAACATCTTGAATAGTTGCCATCAATGAATGACCCAAATGTAAGTAACCGGTAACATTTGGAGGTGGAATAATCATAACAAACTGTTTGTTTCGTATACCATTAGCGTAATTTATAGTGTTCTTAGACCATTTCTCAGCTTTTCCTGATTCAACTACTTGTGGTTGATATGCAGTTGATATGAAAGCTAAATTGTAATTTATTATAATTTAATAAAAAAAATTTATAGTTTTTTTTTAAACGTTATGAATGAAAACCTTTTGCAGAGTTTGTTACCCATCCATTTAATAAGATTCGAATGTTAAAATTTCTTAATAAAATTGATCTGTAAACTAAAAGTTTCATTTTTGGTTAATTTGAAATTACAAAACACATCATTCAACTTTATTCTATATAAGTAGAAAATATTATTCTAGGTTAAATGTAAATAAACAAATTGCTGTCAAAAAAAAATTTATAGCCATTGTAAACTTGCTTCATAGTTAAACTTGTTGTAAGCCGACTTTGTGGCTGTTTAGGGCGAATTCAAAAATTAATTAATTGTTTGCTGGTTTTTGTTATTGTTGACTAGACAATTCATTGTGAATATTTGGAATTATAAAAAGTTTTAAATTAAGAAATTTTAAATAAAAAAGTGAAAAATTAAGTTGCGGGTTTAATTATAAATTAAACAAATTTAAGCCAAAAAGACCACCAATCAACAAAAGTTTCTTAGAATATTTTAAACTAAAGCACTATTTTAAGGTAGAATTACAAATCTATTCTAATGTCATCAAGTTTAAAACAATTTTCTAGCAAGTCTAAGCCGCTAAATTTTTTGTAAAACAAACAATTTTGAAAAATGACTTAACCACTTCTCATTATGTCATTTGTAGAACAGCTGATCTTAATAACAACAATTGCTAATGGGCATCTGTAAGGAAAACGATTTCTTATCAGTAAAATTTTATTTTGAATCGAAGAAAATTGTTTGTCATTCTTATTAAGTGAATAGAACAGTACTTCAGTTTCTAGAATTGTATTGCACATATTGAAAAATGGCAGCCCAGCAAGATAAAAGTTTAATTATAGAACAACGCGGTAAATTATTAATTGTAAAATTTAATAGACCAAAGAAGAAAAATGCAATGGATGATACGATTTACAAGACTTTACCTAATATTTTTCGTGAAGCAGCAAAAGATGATAACATTACCGTTGTAGCATTAACCGGTAAGCATTTGGATGAATCAAAAAATTAAAACACAAATAGAACTTCCCTGTAATTTTGCATATGATATTTTATTGTTTTACAATTGATTAGCAATTAAAATTATTCAATATTTTTTAGTACCTTCCTACCACCATAAATAGTTTTGTTGCAATTAATAGCTAGTATCTTAAATTTCACCTAAGAACAGATTTTTTGTATGATAATAAAACTCAAAGTTCGGTTTTACTTAGGTTTAAAGTTCCGTTTTGTGATGATGCGTAACATTGAGTTGCAATAAATTTGTGAAAACTTCACTTTTAGAGCACAGTGCCTGAACTCCTTTCCTATTTCGTCTTAATATTATTTTTCAAAATATAAAATGTATATGTACAATTTACTACCCATTACCTATATCTACATATACTAAAATTAGTGATAAAAGTTTTTATTATATAATTGAAAAATTCTTTCTATTGTAGGTGTTGGAGAGTTTTATAGTTCTGGAAATGATTTAACAAGATCTATAGCTATACAAGAAGAAGATACAGATTTGGATGGTCTAATGAGCCGAAAAAAATTTATGATTTTAGATTTTATAAGATCATTTTATACATTTCCAAAATTATTGGTTGCAGTAGTAAATGGTCCATGTTTTGGTGTAGCTGCAACAACTGCTGCTTTATGTGATATAATATATTGTTCAAATACAGCATATTTTTGTACACCATTTGTTAAATTGGGTATTTGTGCTGAAGGTGGTTCTTCATATACATTTCCAAAAATTTTGGGTAAATCAAAAGCTATGGAAATGTTATTATGTAATCATAAATTGACTGCAGATGAAGCATTAAAATTTAATTTTGTATCGGAAATTTTTCAAATCAATGAAATAGATAAAATATGGTCTAAATTAATTGAATTTTCTAAACTTCCGATTGGTGCTTTGAGAACAACGAAAGAACTAATACAAAATATTGATAAAAATGAATTAGAAAAAGCAATTTTAAATGAAGCAGATGCTTTACAGCAAAGATGGTATACAAATGAATTTTTTGAAGCTATTAATTCATATTTTAATTCGAAACTATAAGATTATTACATACATACATATATTGCTTGTATATTGTACATACCTTTATTTTATGGACTTTTAAAAAGAGTTTATTATTGGTGAAAGTAAATTGTATTTTTAATGTTTTATGTATTATATAATTGTAAGAATATGTAATAAATAACATATTTTGATAAATTTTATATAAAATTATAGTTTTAGAACGTAATATATAATATGTTTATGCAAGATATTCACTTTTATTTATATTATTAATGGGTGTTTTAATACACAATTTTTGCTGTTGTAAACTTTGTATCATTTCTGAAGATTACTCCTAATATCCTGATATATATATATATATATATATATATATATATATATATATATACATATATATATATATATACATATATATCCTTTGCGATTCTATATAAAACTGCTATTCATAGGATTAAGACGGAACCCTTGGATCCGATAAATAAAACATAAAATATTTTCTTTTACACCCGTGCGAAGGAGTACCTTAGCTATTTTAATTAAGAATTGTTGATTTCCGCTCAAAAGAATTTAGTTACATCGAGAATGTACACAACTGCTCTTATGTGAAGTCGTTAATTTCTTATATTGTTTAACCGAGCAAACGTTTCTCTCTGGTTTACATTAAATAACTAAACCCCAGGAATACAATCATGAAATATTTCTTCACCGTTACCACAAATGGCTGTAATTCGTTGTAATTGTCTATAGGGGTTAGTATATAAAATACACAGGTATACATATACATATATTATCATCGTTTGTATATAATTAAACAACCTCGCATCTATATAAAAATTTCTTATCACATAAATGTCAAAAATAATATAAAACTAGTTAGCGACTGCTTTATATTTAATTTTGTGGCGTTTTAAAATTTTGACTTAGTACAAATGAAAAACTACATAATGACAGCGGCTTATCAGTCATATCAGTCGTTATGCACGCACACTCTAATAAACCCGCTGTGTCATTTTTCTTGTATAGTTTGTTTTGTTATTTGCTTTTTCGGGCGAGTTAGTTGTAAATGTTATAAACAATTAGTCTTATAAATTTTTAATAAATAATTTTTTTTTTTTGGGCTTTCCCAGTTTTAATATAAACACTAAAAAATAGTTAATATTGAATTAAAATAAAAGAAATTGATCCGGAAATAGTTCTTTTTATAAATTATTACGTGACTAAATCCATTACTTTTAGGGAGAATTAAAATATTTTATTGCAAAAAAAAGAAAACAAAAAGAAAATTAGCACAATCATCATCACACCGTAAATATCAGAAAGCTTTAATAATAATTTTTACAAAAACATTTATGGACGAAGAAGTTTTACCTGAAATTAATGTGGGCTCGGATGGAGCATTTTGTCAGGGCGATGATTTCAATTCAAAAGAGGATGATATGACATTTTGTTTAGCAAATTATGCAAAAGAAGCTATGAAAATGATGTCTATGATGAGATCTCATCAAATGTTAACAGATGTTATATTAGAAGTAAAACATGAGCTCTTTCATGCTCATAAAGTTGTTTTATCAGCAGCTAGCCCATATTTTAAAGCAATGTTTACGGGTGGTTTAAAAGAATCAGAAATGTCACGTATTAAATTGCAAGGGGTGTGTCCAACAGCAATGGGTAAAATAATATATTTTATGTACACTGGTCATATTAAAGTAACTGAAGTAACAGTGTGTCAATTATTACCAGCTGCTACAATGTTTCAAGTGCCAAATGTAATAGATGCTTGTTGTGCATTTCTTGAACGACAATTAGATCCAACAAATGCAATTGGAATAGCTAATTTTGCTGAACAACACGGATGTCTATCTCTTCAAAAAAAAGCAAATCAATTTATAGAACGTTATTTTTTACAAGTATGTCAAGAAGAAGAATTTTTGCAATTATCACCATTTCAATTAATAGGCCTTATTAAAAAAGATGAATTGAATGTACAAGGTGAACGTGAAGTTTATGATGCTGTTTTAAAATGGGTAAAATATGATGAGGAAAATCGTTTTCCAAAGATGGAACGTATTTTATGTACTGTACGTTGCCAATTTTTAACTCCAAGTTTTTTAAAAGAACAAATGAAAAATTGTGATGTACTTAGAAAAGTTCCAGCTTGTCGTGAATATTTAGCAAAAATTTTTAAAGACTTAACATTACATAAAAAACCTATAGTGAAAGAGAGACGACCAAATACAACGCGTATGATTTTTGTAGCTGGAGGTTTTTTTAGATGTTCACTTGATAGTTTAGAAGGTTTCAATGTTGATGATAAAACTTGGACAACTTTACCAAAATTAAGAGTTCCAAGATCTGGTTTAGGTGCAGCATTTTTAAAAGGAATATTTTATGCAGTTGGTGGTAGAAATAATTCAGTTGGTTCATCATATGATTCAGATTGGGTAGATAAATATAATACTGTTACAGAATTATGGAGACCATGTGCACCAATGTCTGTACCAAGACATAGAGTTGGTGTAGCTGTTATGGATGAACTATTATATGCAATAGGTGGTTCGGCTGGATCTGAATATCATAATTCAGTAGAATATTATGATCCAGATGAAGATCGATGGACACTTGTCCAATCAATGCATTTTAAACGATTAGGTGTTGGTGTTGCAGTTGTTAATCGTTTATTATATGCTATTGGTGGTTTTAATGGTACAGAACGTTTAAATTCAGTAGAATGTTATCATCCAGAAAATAATGAATGGATATTTGTACCATCAATGCAAATTGGTCGTAGTGGAGCTGGTGTAGCAAGTTTAAATCAATATATTTATGTTGTTGGTGGTTTTGATGGTACACGACAATTAAATTCAGTAGAAAGATTTGATACAGAAAATCAAATATGGGAAAGTGTAGCACCAATTAAAATTGCTAGAAGTGCTTTATCATTAACAGCATTAGATGGTCAATTATATGCAATGGGCGGTTTTGATGGTACAACATTTTTAAATTTAGTTGAAATATATGATCCAAAAACGAATTCATGGATTGATGGTACACCATTAACATCTGGTAGATCAGGTCATGCATCTGCTGTTATATATCATCCATCATGTCCAACATTTATTGATTGTATAGATCAAATAAATAATTATCAACAACCAACAACTAGTAACAATACAATAATGGAAAGTGACAAAACGTAAAATCAATTCTTTTTCTTTTCGTTTTTTCTTTTTTTTTTTGATTTATAAAACTTTAGATTGTTTTTAATAATTTTTCGAAAGAAACATATGTATGTATGTATGAAATCATCCAAAAAAATCCATTATTATAATTATAATATTTTTAATTTAGAATTAAATACATAATGATAAATAATTTCATTTTATGTAAATACTATTATTTTGAATGTAGTGTTTGAATTAAATACTTTATTTTGTGTATTTTAAATATTTTTTTAAAACAAAATTACTATTTTTAAATTTGGAACTCAAAAATAAAAGAAAATGTGTATTTGTAAGACAAGAAATTTGTAACATAAAATATCAAAATACAACTGAAACGCTAATATTTAACGTTTTAGTTAAAAAAAAATATATATATATATATTATTTATTATCTAAAATATCTACGATATTTATTTAGATGATGATTAAAATTTTGAATTATCATCGATGACGATCAAAAATATTATGTGTTTACTTTAATTTTTTTCTTTTTGAAAATTTTTTTTATATAAGTACGCAATAAATCGTGATAAAATTGTATGCAATGATTATTTTTTTTTTATTTTTATTTTAATTTTAATCTAATTAAGGATTTCAAATGTGTATTTTTGTTGGAATTAATAGAATTAAATTCCCTCATATGGTAAAGTACAATACCTCATAATTTTTTCACTATCACAATATAACTAAGATATATTATTTATTTCGTTCCAAGGTAATTGAGAAACTACTATTATTATTTTATATCAATATATAAAAATAATAATAATTATGTAGAGTATCTATATATTTTATGGCTTGTATATAAAATAATTTTATTTTCTTATCATAACCAAAATAAAAGTGAAAATTAATGTGATAATGATAAACTCTACAATATATATATATGTATATATATATATCAATGTTTGATTTCTTAATAAAACAAGAGGAACATTTCTTTTCAGATGAATTTGAAACTGGTTAAAAAAAAACAAATTAAAGAATAAGTATTAAAAATTATTTGTTATGGTTTTTATTATAACATTTTATGATAATAAAACTATATACCTACATAATATAATAAAATTAATTTTATAATAAGTATATTATTATTATAAAGAAATTAAAATTAAAATTTTCAATTAAAATATAGATAAAAGTTGATTCAACGAAATAGGTTTAATATTCAACTGAAGCATTACAATTGCAATGTATCAGTTCAAATTGCATTACAATTAAAAATTGGGATCTGAAATTGTAAAATAAATGAATATAATATAAAAAAATATGGAATAATTTGTGAATTTGAATTAAAAAATTGATTTTATATTTTAATATTCAATAGTGTTGAAATTATGTGAGACTCATAATAAAATGTATACAATTTTAATTCAAGTCCCATGTTAGAATCTATATTTTGTTGGGAACAGAATTAGAAGTTAACAAGACAACGACTGAATTCAATGTTTAATACAATTTTAAATATAAATTTTTGTAACAAATTGGATGAATAGACTTAATTCATTTAATTCGTATTGAAAAATTCGTGAAACTTAGTCCTTATTTATAGGCTTTGGTTATAAAATAGATTCGATTTAATCTTAAAAGATTCGGTTAGATTTGATTTAGTCAATAAAATATTGGCTTAAATTTTAATTGATTATGAGGGAAATACCCGGCATGAGCAAAAAAAGCAGTATTGCAGTACACATTATCATTAAATTTTATTTGTGCAATTATTTAAATAAGGTTTATTGGTAAGGTTTATTGGTAAAGAAACTAAAAAATAATTCTAATTAAATATTTAAAAAATTAAATAATTAAAAAAATTTTTGATTTGATAATCTTAAAATCAATTGAGTATCAAATTATAAAATTGTTATAATATTATTTGAATTTTCAAAAAACAAAAAAAATATTCAATTTTAAATTTTATAAATTAATTATTGAATATTTTTTAAAAATTAATCTCTTTTATTATAGAATATACTAAATTGTAAAATATAATATAATTATTATTTTTTATTTGAAGATTATCAATAATCTTTTCTCTTAGCATTTATGTCCAAATAAGAGTTACTTTAAATTATAGTTTATTGTGTATTGTGCCTATAAATATTTCATATTTACCTAAAATTTTATTTACAAATTAAATAAAATATTGATTTTTATTTAAAAAGAAAAATATCTTATTTTTGTTTTTTTTTTATTTTGTATTGAACTTGATAATAATATAGTTGCTATTATATATACGCACACATATATATATATCTTGCTTGAAACATATTAGCAAATCAATTATTGTTTATAAAAGTTTTTATCATGTCATCATGAGAGTGTTATGAAAACTAGAATTTTATGAATTTACATTAAAAGAGTAAAAGAAATTATAATATTTTTGATTTTTATGATACTATTATTTTTTTTTTTATTAAATACTAGTTATATTATGAAGTATTTATGTATATAAGTGGAATTTAATACAATCAAAGAATGTTACGGTAAAAGTTAATCTTTGAAATCTTTGAAATGTTAATTTTCAACGTACATACTATTATATACATTTCTTGTGACTACAAACTTCTAAACTGAAATGTTTTAAATAAGGTTTTACAGTAATAAGGTGTTCAATCCAGTGTTTAAAATGCCTTGCAAATGGAAGAGGCGTAAAATATATTATAAGTGGCTAAGATAATCTAAGATTGAGTAAATTTCCTTATCGATATTTAATTGGTTGAAAGACTCCGTTTTGCAAACTTTACACCAATAACCCTTCGCTTTATGTTCTTTCTCTATTTCACCTATATATTTGTAAATAGAATAAAAAGAACGGATAAACGCAGAGTAGTACTATTTTGTATATAGTTTATAGTGATATACAAGACGACAATTTTTATAATTATAGAAACGAACTACTTTTTTTGAATTGCGCTACTTTAAATTAAAAAAACTTATTATGTACTAACTAGCTCTCATGGGAAAAAAAAGTAGTTCGCTGTGTAAATACCAAAATTGTTTTTTGTATATCAGTGTATATCACTATAATTTTTAATGTACGAAATTTTTTGATCTAATTGTGATTTTTCAGAATTCCTAAAAAACTGTTATACAGTTAAAATCAATTTTTCTTTCTGACTGTTATTAGTGAGTTTCACTAAAAAACAATATCGAATTTTAATTATAGATTCACTTTTATTTTTTTAATTTCTGGAATTAGTAATTTGTATAACAGTTTGGGTGTTATTATCTTTAGTATATAAAAATCCAAAATATAATTTTAATTAAGTTTTTATTTAAATTAATGAATACTCTTAAAGCACTGTAAAAGAAATTTATTCACTTTTACCGTAACATACTACATTTCTATACTGCACGTATACCATTTATAAACAACATACTGCACGTATACCACATATATACGTATAAAGTGTAACAACTTTTAGAATAATTCTATCTTTAAAAGTTTAACACAAGATACGCACATACACTCATTAGAACTGGTAACGTACAAATTCCGTGTATGGTGACGATAAAAACTGCAAGTCATTTTTTTTTTTTTTTGTTTTATTATCCTAAATTTAATTAAGAATGGAATTCATAAAATTTTAAAGAAGAAATTGAAATGAATACTATAATGTTATACAAAATAAAAAAAAAAAATAAGAGAAAAATCAACAAAAAGTTCAACAAAACAATAAATTTAAAATAAAATTTTTGTTATTCATTAAAATTTTACAGTAAATTCTCGTTTATTTTCTTATTATTTTCTTATTGTTATATTGGTGTTTATATCGTAAATTATTAGGTGAAATCAACTATTTTCAAATTAATATTGTTAAACTAATAAAATTTTTAAAGAATTTCTTTATAGAAAATTAAAATTAATTGTGTTGCTATGCGCTAAATCAGTTATGATTAATATTAAGTTAGAGACTCATTTTTGAATGTACGAGTATGTATGTATGATTGTAGATAGATTAATTTTGTATTTTTGTTTGAATTTGAAATTATATTTTCTTTATCTTATTGACTATTATTAATTAAAGCTGAAAAACATGATATTTTTTAGTTTATTAATTTCTATTACTAACTACTAACTCTATTATTTTTAACGCGATTATTATATTTATTTTATATCAAAAAAAAAAAATTATCAAGAAATCAATCAAAGTATTGATTATTATTATTATACAACTATACTACCTACTTAAATTCATGTGTACATACTTATACGTATGTACATAATGTAATTGAAAATATTTTGTAATCATTTTTATATATATATCGGAATTAATGTAGAGTGGGTGATATTTCATAAAATTAAATTAATTATAAATTTTGTATAAAATTTAAATAATTTTTATTGTAGCTAAAATATTTTTAGAAAAACATAAACAAAAAAAAAAATTAATTTGTTTTCCTGATATCCTATAGTACAATTGTTTGAATATCAGTGTTTTTCAAATATGATTAAAACATTTAAGATAGAGAGAAAGAGAGAGAGAGAGAGCTTAAATATAGGACTGACTATTCATTGTTAAAATGACAGAAACATCAGAACGTATATATCGACAACAATTTTTGAAAATTTTTGCTTAAATTTTTGAAAATTTGTTTAAATATTTTCTAAACAGGCGGACCCGGACCTAATTCGCTATAGTTTTTCTATATGAAATCTGAAATTAATTTTAATTCGAAGATATAATTTAATCTGTTTTAATAATAATTAATTGTTCTAGTGATAAGTGAAGAAGTAAGTGGAGAAAGAGATTAACTAACATTTTGACGAAAATCGAGCTGCTCAGATAGAACATTATTAAATTTCATATACATATTTTAAACTGTGATTATAGCTAGAAAAATAATATCTCTCTTATAGCTAGAAAAATAATAGAAGACGAGATTGAGAATCTACATAGGAATTAAATAACAAAAAAATTAATATATTTTACAATTTCTTAATGAATATATGTAAGTGTTAAGATGCAAATGTA